CTCTGATTATTCATTAAAATTAGGACTAGAACCTAGATCTTATCAATTATAATTTTTTTTCTTTTTTCCAGTACTGGCCCTTTACCTTGAGCCACTCTACCAGCTCTATTTTTGTGAAGGGTTTTTTGAGATAGGGTCTCGCAAAGTATTTGGCCCCAGCTGGTTTTGAACCACAATCCTCCTGATCTCTGCCTTCTGAGTAGCTGGGATTACTGGCAAGAGCCATTGGTGTCTGGCTTCTGGATCATACTTGAAGAGCTCTTTATTCTACAGGCAATAAAGATTTGTTTATGGTTTTAGTAGAGGAGTGACATTAATGACAAATGATATTTAAAAGGCTTTGCAAAGGTCCAAATTGAGTTGTAATAGGAAGACATTATATGTATAAACCAGGCACTCATGAGATTGCTAAAACCTTTATTGGGTTATTTTAAATTACAGAATAACAGTCTACTTGAACAAGTGAAAAAATATAAAGATGTACAGAGGAAAGGTTAATACTAACCATGTGAAACCCTAGCCACCTTCCCTTTTAAGACAGTTATTGGGAATGATTTTAATGTATCCTTCCATAATTTTCTCTATATTCATAAAATAACATACTATGAATATATAGACATTCATAATAACATATTATGAATATATATAGACATTATGGTAGATGCCTGTATGTTACCAGAAATTCAGTTCCCATGAGAAAAGGGTTTTGAGGATATACTTTCTTATTAGATTAAGAGGATGACAAGGGAAGTCAGCCTCAAAATTCTGTCATCTCTCTTCTGAGGAAACATGTCCACTTTTTTAATGGGAGAACTCAGGAACTTTGTTTCAGGGTACCTGACAAAATGCATGTCCCAGAGCAGGTTTTGGCCTTGGTTCTTGTCTCCCAGTTTACAGGTGGTACATCTGTGATGTATGTCTTGGTTTATAGAAGTTTATTCCTTCAAAGGGCTAAAGAGAGATAGGGCCAAGAAGATTGTCTGATGTAGTTGAAAAATGAAGGGTGTTAACTTTGGGCTCCTCAGCATGGGGAGAATGAGAGAGAAAGGAATCCTGGAATAACAAAGCACAGGAGAACTGAGCAGCAAACAAGCTACAACTGAAAGTTTTTCTTTTGTATTCCTAGTTACATGTAATCCCAGCCACTCAAAAGGTTGAGGCAGGAGAACTGTTAGTTCCAGCCTATTAAAACATACATACACTCACATGCGTGTATGTGAAGTGTTTATTCTTTAATTATATCATAAATTGTTTTACATTGTGCTTTTTTCACTTAAATGTTTTGGTAGCCTTTTAGGAGATTATGGATAGATTTTATTTACACTTTTTCTGGAGTTACTTAATGTTTAATAATATCTATATGCCATAATTTATTCTGCCCTCACTCTTTATTTCTAGATTGTTTTATGTTTTTGCAACCGCAAGAAGTGTTGCAATAGGCCAGGCATGGTGGGTCACTCCTGTAATCCCAGATATTTTGGAGGGTGATTGTTTGAGGCCAGCCTGAGCAAAAAGTTAGCAAGATCCCATCTAAATAAGCTGGGTGTGGTGGTGCACATCTGGAATTGCAGATGAGAGAAAAAGAGAGATCCTAATTAGGAAGATTTGTGTCCAGGCTGGGGGAAAAAACCAAACAAACAAGACCACACCTATATGATAACCTAAAATAGCACAGAAAATGGGGGAGTGATGCAGGCATGGCTCAAGTGACAGAGCATTTGATTAGCAAGCACAAGCCATGAATTTAAGCTCTAGTACAAGGTGTATATGTGGGAAAGATCCGTACTGTAATTTTATAAGTATATATATTCATATATACATATATATATGCATATAAAGTTACCGCATACTGAAGAATATAGGTTTTTGACCTATTTTTTTAATGTTTTTGTGTGGGAGGTAGGGGTTGTTTGTGTTTGAGACAGGATCTTCCTGTAGAACTCACGCTGGCCTGGAATTCTGTATGTAGGTTAGGCTGGCCTTGAACTTGAACTTCTGCTTCTGCTTCCCACATACATGTGCCAATGTGCTGGGCTTTATTTTTCATTTTTTTTAAGTGTAACAAATACATTGGATATCTAGGGAGGAAAAAGTCTCCATTTGTGTTATCTGTAAAATTTAATGATAAAATTCTCTTTGTGACTGATTTTAAGCTACTGACAGAGTAGTTAGTTGTGAGCACCTGGCACCCAGCACAGATATGCTTTTTCATTCTCTTTTATATTTCCTAGTGCATTATTACATATTTTGAGTCCTATATAGTAGAAGACAGAGTCTCCTTGTGGCTTTTGCTTTGGAAAACTTTTGCTTTTATATAACATTTTTCTTCTTGAATGCTAATATACCTCGGAGCCCCTTTGTTTACTGTAGAGTAGGCCTGACTATGAAAATGGTCCATTTAAGTGGGGATATGTTGGGTTTTCTGTAGTTGTCTAAAATATTATTTGATGATGTTCCCTTCTTCCCAAGTTAATGTTTCTGGCAGAAAAGAAATGTGTCATATAACGTGTGGTCGTTTGCTTGATTAGGACTGGACTTGTTAAACAGTCTCGTAGAGAACATGCTGGAGGATGTATAGGGCAGCATCGTGATCCTCAGTTCCAAGAAGTTTCTCTGGCCATTCAGCCCTTTATTAGCAGCTGTCCAAGCTCACTCTAGATGATATAAGTACAGTGCATCCTAGCGCTGGGGTCACAGCTCAGTGGTAGAGCACTTGTCTAGCATGAATGAGACCCTGGGCTCAATTCCCATACTCCAAAAATTAAGTATAGTGCATCCTGTTTTTCATCATTTTCTCACATTTCACTTTATGATTCCAGAAAGGCTGTTTTGCCCACATTATACAATTGCTGTTCAGGGGCTGGGATTTGCCTAGCATGTACAAGGCCCTGGGTTTGAGCTCTAGTACCGCTGTAAAAAAATATATACATACATAATAATATATACATTAAAAATACATATATACATAATAATAATATTGTTGTTCAAAATGGTGCTTGGGGGCTTTCATCTGTTAAACAAGATATTTTGGTCAGATTCAGTGCTGTAGTTTGTCTTTTTTCTGTTCTAAGCACAGTCATAAGAACATCTCTGTGTTTGATTGCAAATAACCTTGAAGATAGGCATTGCTAAAAAGTTGAATGTGGATGGAAACCTTGTGAGCATTTACCTCCAAATGGCCCCTCCCATCCATTCTGCCTCTGTATGTCAAGAGTGTTTCTAAAATGGTTATTTGTTAGGCAAACTTCTTGAGAACTATTATTATTATTATTATTATTATTTGGTGGTTTTGGTATTGGAATTTGAACTAAAGGCCCTGCACTTGCTAGACAAGGGCTCTACCACTTGAGCCCCACCTCCAGAACTTTTTGCTTTATTTTTCTGATAGGATATCATGCTTTATGCCCAGACTATTAGGAAAAATGCCGCTCACAAAGAAAGCTCATGAGAAAAGTCTCACGTCCATACAGCAAAGTTTAATGGCAGGCCCCAACTGCCAGGCTGGCCAGGGAAAAGATGGCGCAGCAGTGAATCTGGGCCAGGCGTGGCTTTTATAGAAGGGGAAGATTAAGGAAGTTAGCGCGTGCATGGTAGTCTCTGGTAGGGGTGGGGCTGTCTTAGAGTGTGGGAATTTCTGTTAAGGGGAGGGGCTGCCATTTTGGCCAATTCACAAAATGGCGACATTATTGTTCTATCATTCCCCCATTTTTTCTTTAATAATGATGGGAATAGGGGCTGAGGATTGGGAATTGGGGCTAAGGGTCAGCCTCTTAGCTGCTTCCTGCTGGCAGGGGGTGCTGTATGGGACAAGATCCTCATACTCCTGCGTCCTGGTGCGGGCCCTTATAGCAGTCCTCTGTATGGTTTTGGAGAGGTTGATATCCCTGGAGGTATAACTGGTTAAACTTTTTTTTTTTTTTTTTACTGCTTAAACTTTTGATTAGCAATAGCAGACATGCGGTCTAAAAGAAATCTTTGTACTGTTTTTATGATACAAGGGAGGAAGCTTAAGAATATGAGAGCAAGAAATATAGGCATTAGGATGGGCATTAGCCAGGAGAACCACTGTGAAATGTTATTCCCTAGAGGATTCCAAGAGTCATTCAACTCCCTTCTCCATTTTTCTAACTGTTCCTTGAGAGGTGCTGCCACTGGGAGATCCCATTGAGCTTGACAGCAGTGGGTGTCATGAGAATGACCAGAAGAGGGCTGGTCCACCGAAGTCCCAATGGAGAGGTTAGAAGATCCTTTTAGGAGCACAAGATCCCCTGGTTTAACAGAAATTGTTATAGGATGGGGCAGGATCTGGTCTGCATGCTCTCTGAGAAGTTCCCTGAGAAGGTTAAGGTAAGGCAGGTAGTCAGCCAGAGGGGCAGAGTCTGTTGGAGGCAAGTTTTCTAAGAGTAATGGGCGGCCTCAGGTGATAGAGAACAATTGCCTAACAAATTTAAGTAGTTCAAACACCAGTACTGCCCCCCTCAAAAAAGGGAGAATTCCCACCCCACCCCAGCCTACCCCAATCTCAACTAACAAGTTGGGTATGTTAGGGCACATCAGTAAACCCAGCTACATAGTAGACATAAGTAGGAGGATTATAGTCCAAGTCCAACTCGGGAAAAGCATAAGACCCTACCTGAAAAATTACTGAAGCACAAAGGACTAGGGACATGACTCAAGTGGTAGAGCATTTGCATAGCAATCACAAAGCCCTGAGTTCAAACCGCAATACTGCCAAAAAATTGACATGAAATGGATTTCCTAGTCAGCTGGAGGCATAGCCATAAAAGGTATAGTACATGTGTATGAGAACAATGTGTCTTTTCTATATAAAAGTCAAGGAATGTTAACCGTTAGATTATGAAATGCAAGAAGCTAAGTTGTATACCTCTTATAGAATGCTTATCTGGGGTTTAGTCAGAATTATTTTGCACAATAAGGAAAACTTACTATGAATGTCTTTAAGTAACCTTGCTGCTTTTGCATTTTCTGTTTGGATGCAGCTGAAAGTACCCATGGCAGACAAACCTGGTAACACAGTGAACTTCCGGAAGCTGCTACTAAACCGCTGCCAGAAGGAGTTTGAAAAAGATAAAGCAGATGATGATGTCTTTGAGAAGAAGCAGAAAGAACTTGAGGCTGCCAGTGCTGTAAGTGTTTTCACAGACTGTGCATGTTGAGTATATCAAGTAGAATTTTCATAAAGCCAGCTACATCTCCCTTCTACCTTAAAAGGTGCCTGTAGTCTTCCCTCCACTCCACACCCTGTGAAGAGAGAGGTACCACGTTTTTTTTTTCATTTGTTTTGTGTTTTTGTTTTTTGAGAGGTACCATGTTGATATTAAGGACAATTGCTTTAGTCCTTTTTAGTGCCAAATGTTAAGACCCTACTCTGCAAGTCAGGAATACAGTGTAATCCTGTACTTCAGAGAGGTTGGGTTTCAGAAAATCTGAAATGATTGCAAACTTTTGTTGACAGCTCCATTTTCTGAGGAGTTTTGGTCCATAGTTGCTGTGGCAGATTCTCAAAGGACATCTGAGCCCTAAAAAGAACAAGGTCCATGACTGTTACCATTTCCTGTTCAGTACAGGTTTCATCATTATACTTTTATTCCTTCTTACACAATAGCCAGAGGAGAGGACGAGGCTTCATGATGAACTGGAAGAAGCCAAGGACAAAGCCCGGCGGAGATCCATTGGTAACATCAAGTTTATCGGAGAGCTCTTTAAACTCAAAATGCTGACTGAAGCCATCATGCATGACTGTGTGGTGAAGCTGCTCAAAAACCATGATGAAGAATCCCTGGAGTGCCTGTGTCGCCTGCTCACCACCATCGGCAAAGACCTGGACTTTGAGAAAGCAAAGGTAAAATTCCAGAGACTCAGAAGCAACCCTTCTGCAGGACCTCTATCGATTGCAAAAACACTTAGGCTGTCAACAAAAGTGTTCCCATTTTGCCCTTACAGTTTATACCGTTTATGTTCTCCTTTGCCATCTCATTGTTAGTGTTCTTTACCATATTTGCATTAGATGCAGAGATGAGGTCGTTCCCAGATTATATACAAGTCAATTTGTAGATCGTTCAGATTATTTGACTCTTGTCCTCTTTTTTCCTTTATAATCACATTATAGGTCATTTGTTTGTATAGCAAGTTTTGTAGAAATAAGAAGGAAGAAAACTACCATGGTGAGGCCAGAAGGTGATGCAGAAGTAAAGAAGGCCCAGTCGTTTTCATTTGTTTCTTTGGACAGGGTCTCACTATGACATCCAGGCTGGCATTGAACTCATGATCCTCCAGCCTCAGCCTCCTGAATATTGGGATTGCAGGCATGAGACACCATGCCTGGCCCTCAGTAATATTTTTAAGTATATGGTCTAATTAATGCACAGTTATCTAACCATAATACAAGAAAAAATAAAATTCAGTCATAACATGGTATTGTCCAGATAAGTATGTGGAAATTAGAAATACTCAAAGAACTGATACAGAAATGTTTCATAATATCTGAGTCAGCTAGGATTATGTTTGGTGCTGATATCAGTAGTTTATACAAGATTGGGGCTTATTTCTTACTTAGTAAACAGAGTTCTGGGATAAGTCCATCCAGCTTAAAATTTTAGCATTCCTAAGTTATAATCCTTGTCCTCATTACTCTCAGCAGAGATGCAAGGAATAGGAGCAAAGGATACAGCCACACCTCTTTTAAAGAAGGTTACAGAGCTTTAATATAACAGTTCCAGGAAGCCTAGAAAAAGTATATTGAGTGGTCATAAGGTCAATTAAAAATTCTACCACTACCAATTCCACTATTAACTTTTGATGATAAGTTGTTGCTAGAGCATTTAAAAATCTAGCAGGCAGAGTGGCTCAGGTGGTAGAGCGCCTGCCTAGCAAGCATGAGACCTGTACCACCCCTATTAAAAAAAAAAAATCTCATGGTGAAAGTCACATTTGAATTTTTTCAGCCAGGAATACTAGTGATTTTTTTCTCTTGTAGCCACGTATGGACCAGTACTTTAACCAGATGGAGAAAATTGTGAAAGAAAGAAAAACCTCATCTAGGATTCGATTCATGCTTCAAGATGTGATAGACCTAAGACTGGTAAGTAGATGAAGAAAAAAAGCTTACCAGTCCAGTCGCTTAATGAATTGAGTTGAGTGAAGTTTTCTTGTTGCTCATGTGCATAAGAGCTTACTGCTCAGAAGTTGAATTGGCATAGTTTCATGAGAGTTACGTGAGAGGCAAAGCCTGCTGCCTGTTGTGTTTCTCTTCTGTTTCTTGTTCTCTGCCTATTACATGTTTACTCTGATTATCAAACCACATTGTAATTTTGAAGTGTGCCTTTCTGAATTCAAATTGTGGTCAATTAAATGTAGTTTTTGTAATCTGAATAATCAAAAAGTCCTGTCTTCACTTTGAATACATTTATCTTCCTGAGTGTTACGTTTTTCGTATAATATGAGGATGTCACCAACCTTGTGGATTTGCTATAGATCCAATACGATAATTGCATGAAGCACCAATTCAGAAATCTTAATGTTTCCTTCTTCACTGCTTTCCTGTACTGCTGCTTTCTACCCCCTTTTCTTATACCACCTGCAGCCTTCATCAGTATCACCTTTTTCTTAGTTTAACTCCTGTAGGAAATGTACCACAGCTGAAAGTAAATGTAGGCCTTACTGAAGCCAGATAGCATTGATGACAGCTCTTTATCTTTCTAAGCCCAGATGTGACCTTAGGAGCCTTTTGTTTATTTGTTTGCAGTGTTGGGGCTTGAACTCAGAGCCTACACCTTGAGCCACTCCACCAGCCCTTTTTGTGAAGGGTTTTTTCAAGATAGGGTCTCGAGAACTATTCGCTCAGTCCTGGCTTCAAACTGTGATCTTCTGATGTCTGCCTCCTGAGTAGCTGAGATTATAGGTGTGAGCCACTGGTGCCTGGCTTTAGGATCCTTCTTACTACCAGAACTACTACCGTTTATTCAGAATTTGCATGCTGATTTAAACCTGTTTGCCATTCATCCCCTAGTGCTTGTATCAAATGCTGGACTATAGCTGGAAATGGACTGAGAAGTGTAATTATACAGAGACAACTTGTGCCCTCATTAGAGGGGATAACCAGAGGGCAGCATTGTATGGCACTTTGTGTTAGGGTACCAGAATTATGTTATTGGAGAAAGGAAAATGCAGTCATCTTCAATTTGTGGACTAACTGGTAATGCCACAGATAAGGGCAATCCTGAGGAATCCTCATCCTTCTTGATTCCTCTTCTCTCTATTCCTTTCAAGTGTAGAAAACAGTGATAAAATCACTTGGGCCAAATCCTTTCCCTGTTCTTATATCTGTCAGCTGTTGGAATGTGTAAAATAGAGCTGGCCAGGGTTGAGGAATTTTATTTCTTAAGTCAAATACCCTAAATATGATGTCATCTATAAGACAGGAGAAACTTTCATCATTCCAGATTTTGTAGGTATTTTATATTTTTTAGCAGTGAAAAGTAAAGATTTAAAATTTTTTTTTCTTTATTTTCAGTTAACTAAACTAACTGGTAACCTAATTTTCTATTTTTGTAGTGTAATTGGGTATCTCGAAGAGCAGATCAAGGGCCAAAAACTATCGAACAGATTCACAAAGAGGCAAAAATAGAAGAACAAGAAGAGCAAAGGAAGGTCCAGCAGCTTATGACTAAAGAGAAGAGAAGACCAGGTAAGGGCAGGAGACTTGTATGCTTGGGAGAACCTGGGAGTTTGAAAGATAGATATGTGAGAATACTTCATGCAGGCATGAAATGAGACCAAAGAATAACCCAAAGAATAGTGTTTGGGCAGTTAAGTGAAGCTGGTTCATGTGGAGGCTAGTCATTGAGTAAAAGCAGAAAGTGTGGAAATTAAACTTAATTTCTTTGACTTCTTCAAAGGCAGTAGTCAACAAGACTTTATTGTACATCTCTCTATGCAGAGAGGTATAAGAATAGAAAATACATTTCTTCCTTTTAAAGCTCACAGTCTATGTAGGAAGGTAAAACTAATCCAGGAAACATTTCTCAAGCACATGGAAGACATCATCGGTTTTGAGATGTATTCTCCATCAAAGTTGTTAAATATTAAAAAATTATTTGAAAATTTAGAGTAAAAGAAAGATAGAAAGCTGAAAAAAGTCCTTATTTCAAGAAGAAATGCTCAAACCTGGGTTTTACATTAAAGAAAGATACTTGAAAGAGAAGGATTTCAGTCATGAAATTAAAGTAAACATACACTGTAAAAAAGGAAAAAAACAAGTCTAATGATGGTAAAATCTAGTGTTCAGAAGGAATGGAAAATGTTTGTCTGGAAGAATTACAATGAACTTTCTTTTTTTGTGGTCGGTACTGGTTTCAAACTCAGGGCCTCACACTACTTGCTTTTCCACTACTCCACTAGCCCTTTTTTGTAATAGTTATTTTCGAGATGGAGTCTCAAGAACTACTTGCCTGGGGCTGGCTTTGAACTGTGAGCTACCAAAGCCTGGCTAAAATGAAGAACTTTTGACTTTTGCTTGGTAGACATTAAGGAGCCATTCTAAGTTTTTGGGGTTTTTAAACTTTTTTTTTGGTGGAAGGAGGGGGGGATACTGGGGCTTGGATTCAGGGCCTCATGCTTGGTATGTAGCGCTATACTGCTTGAGCCCCTCCACCAGCTTATTCTACATTTTTTTGGTTTTTTTTTTTTCTCGTGGAACTTGAGTTTGAACTCAGGGCTTTGCACTATCAAGCAGGAACTCTGTGTTGGGTATTGGCGGAGTGGCTCAAGTGGTAGCGCATCTTCACACTTGCTAGGCAGGCACTCTTACTGGTTGAGCTGCTCCACCAGTCTCCCATTCTCAGTTTTTAAACAATGAAGTACTGTCATACTAGATGTATGTAATAAGATTCAGTTTATCACTTTGGGTTTTTTTTTTTTTTTTTTGACGCTAGATATTAAATCCAGGACCTTGTGCTTGCTAAGCAAATGCTCTACTGCTGAGCAACCCATCTTATGACTCCTTGGGTAGTGAATTAAAGTTATACACTGAACTCAGCAATGTGATTGTTGCTGAAATCCTAGGAGACAGGTAGTAATAAGATTAGAAAGGAAGAGACATATGAAAAAAATAAGTCAAAACAGAAAGCATTTTATACCTGAGAAAATAGTCTGTTTACTGAAGTTTAGAAATATTGGAAGAGAAACTCTGTAAGAACAAATGACAGTTTTCTTTTGAACGTATTTGAGATGAACATAGGACACAACATGCACTGTGCAGTTAAGTGATCAAGGGATTGTGTGTGACAGTCTATCAGGCTTTGAATGTCAGCTCTTCTACGCTAGCTGTATGACCTTACACCTGTTCACTCTGTTGCAAAATGGAACAAGAAATAGTCCCTAGGATTTGTGTGAGGCTGACACAAGGTAATGCCTGTGGCTCATTGTAAATACTCAGTCACCATCAGTTGTTATTTATCGCAGACATAGTAGAACTCACAGTGTAGTTGGATGACTCCGCCAGAGAAGAAAGTTTGCACTTACTTCACCTAGGACTTAATGCACTAACGATTTTATTATTGAACTCCTTAAAGAAGGAAAAGGAGATTTTGAAGACTAATTTGTTGGAGGTTGTCCACAGATGATTGAAGGTAGAAAGCATCTCTTGGAAAAGTGACAGATAAAATCAAGTAAAGAAAGAGAACAAGGATATAAATGTCATAAAAACAAGAAACAGCTAGCACAAAGAAAGTTAGTAAATATGTGAGACTCAAAACAGCCTTTGGATAGGCAGTTTGGGGGTTCATTGATATTCATTCATTGAACAAATACTGAGTGCCTATCACTTAACAAGAGAGTTAAAATTCTTTCCCTCATGCAGCTTGTATCTTACCTGGGGAGGAAGGTTACACAATAAACACTAAAAATAAATATATAATTTGTTCTATAGAAAAATAAAGGAGAGAGAGTGGGGAGAGCAAGGCTTGGAGAGTGGAGGTTGCAATTTTTAAAGGGAGCTTGGGAACCTGTTAAAGTTGGTGCTGTTGAGCAAAGACGTGAAGCAGGTAAAGGAGGTAAGTTGTATGCATAACTGGAGAGAGAAGGTTTTTGGCAAAGAGACTAATAAGTACAAAGGCTCTAAACAGTGTTTTCAAGGAATGGAAGAAGACCAGTGTGGCTGGAGCTCTGGGTCTCTGGGGAATGGGGGTGGGTACTAGAAGACGGGGGACTGTGAGGCAGTGGGAACTAGAGTTTTGATTGGTAGGCCATTCATAAGGAATCTCGTCTTTTTCTCTAAGTGAGATGGAGATTGAATCAGAAGAGTGACAATATCTGACTTGTCCTTTGGTAGGGTCACACTAGCAGCCATGATGTAAACAGAAAAGGGTGGAAGCAGCTTGTCCAGACAGGAAGTTTTACAGTAATCTGGGGAAAAGACATTGGTGGTTTAAACAGAACTGCTAATGTCATAAATAGGGGCAAGATTCTACATAGATAGGACTGGCAGTGGCTGCTGACAATTGGATGTGAAGTTTGAAAGAGAACAGTATTCCTCCCTGAGCAGTTGAAGTGTTGAGAGAAGCAGGTTTGGTGTTTCCAAATGAACTTTAGGGTAGATTTTTCATTCTCTGTGATGAATGTCATTGGGATTTTGATGGGAATTGCATTGAACATGTAGATTTCTTTTGGTAGTATAGCCATTTGGAAACATAAAAGACTGCAGACAGCCAAGGCAATACTGAGCAAAAAGAGCAATGCTGGAGGTATCACAGTACCCAACTTCAAGCTATACTGCAGACCCAATAAAAACAGCATGGCACTGGCACAAAAACAGATATGAAGACCGGTGGAACAGAAAAGAGGACCCTGATAGGAATCCATGTAGCTATGCCCACCTTTCTTTTGATAAAGTCTCCATCTTGAGCCACTTTGCTAGCCCTTTTTCCTGTGAAATGTTTTTCAAGATAGGGTCTCTCAAACTGTTTACCTGGGCTTGCATTGAATCATGATCCTCCTAATCTTTCCTTCCTGGGTATCTCAAATTATAGGCATAAGCCGTTGGCACCTGGCTTTCTTGGTTTTTACATAGTGGCTCAGTTGACAATATTGCTCACTCTTTAAGTGTCAAACTCACTTGAGACATATAAGAAACTAGCTTTCTTCTCTTTGTAGGTGTCCAAAGAGTGGATGAAGGTGGGTGGAACACTGTACAAGGGGCCAAGAACAGTCGGGTACTGGACCCCTCAAAATTCCTGAAAATCACTAAGGTGTGTATGAAATTTAAAACACAACTTGAAAGCCCTGCCATTAAGTCTCAAAAGAACTCATTGCTTATATGAAATAGCTATATTGCATATTTTCTTCTAAGTCAACATTTATCACATTCTACATACTTTGCTTGGTGTCAGTCCTTTTTGTTTCTATGAGAGTTTTCTATAGAAGTATCTAGGTTAATTCTTAGAGTTATGAGATGCTGAAGATAACAGAAATGTGGTTAAAGGTACTTAATTAACCTCAAGTCATTTACAGATTTTATACAGTGTATCCTCACCTCTGGGGAAGAAGCATTTACTAGTTTAAATCTAACCATGAAAGGAATGACCGGGTTCTGGGTAAAGATGGACGTCCACGATCTTTTTCGCCGGCTTGGCGCAGGGGCCAAGTTCGACGTGAATCGCTTCTCCGCGGATGCAGCTCGATTCCAGGTAGGAAAAAGGAAATACGACTTTGATTCTTCAGAGGTGCTCGGGGACTGGACTTCTTTGGAAACAAGAAGTCTATCTCATGTGAGTGTGGAGCATCACAAACAGACCAGAAACTCCAAAATGAAGAGAAAAAAGAAGAGAACCTAATTGAAAGGAAGAGGGAGACAAACAAGAAAAAGAGAAAGAAGATGGTTTCAGAAAATCCTTTTCAAGATGAAGGTACTATACAGTGGATATCATCTGTGGAAGCAAAGATTGAAGATAAAAAAGTTAAAGAAGAAAATAAACTAACTTCAGAAAAGTTGGAAGAGCTCAGAATGGAAAAGATAAATTTCTTCAGGAATAAATACAAAACTCACGTTCAAGGAACTGATCTTCCTGACCCAGTTGCTACATTTCAGCAACTTGACCGGGAATATAAAATTAATTCTCGACTGCTTCAGAACATTCTAGACTCAGGCTTCCAGATGCCTACACCAATCCAAATGCAAGCCATTCCAGTTATGCTGCATGGTCAGGAACTTTTGGCTTCTGCTCCTACAGGATCTGGGAAAACTTTAGCTTTTAGCATTCCCATTTTAATGCAGCTGAAACAACCCACAAATAAAGGTTTCAGAGCCTTGATTATATCTCCATCACGAGAACTTGCCAACCAGATTCACCGAGAGTTAATTAAAATCTCCGAGGGAACAGGATTCAGGATACACATGATCAACAAAGCAGCAGTGGCATCCAAGAAATTCGGATCTAAGTCATCTAAGAAGTTTGATATTCTTGTGACTACTCCAAATCGACTGATCTATTTACTAAAGCGAGATCCACCAGGGATAGACCTAACAAGAGTTGAGTGGCTGGTAGTAGACGAATCAGACAAACTATTTGAGGATGGCAAAACTGGGTTTACAGACCAGCTGGCTTCCATTTTCCTGGCCTGCACATCCCACAAGATCAGAAGAGCTACATTCAGTGCAACTTTTGCATATGATGTTGAGCAGTGGTGCAAACTCAACCTAGACAATGTCATCACTGTATCCATTGGAGCAAGAAATTCTGCAGTAGAGACTGTAGAACAAGAGCTTCTTTTTGTCGGGTCTGAGACTGGAAAACGTCTGGCCATGAGAGAACTTGTTAAAAAGGGTTTCAATCCACCTGTTCTTGTTTTTGTTCAGTCCATTGAAAGGGCTAAAGAACTTTTTCATGAGCTTATATATGAAGGTATTAATGTAGATGTTATTCATGCAGAAAGAACACAGCAACAGAGAGAGAACACAGTCCACAGCTTCAGAGCAGGAAAAATTTGGGTTCTTATTTGTACAGCCTTGCTTGCAAGAGGCATTGATTTTAAAGGTGTGAACGTGGTGATTAATTACGACTTCCCAACCAGCTCAGTGGAATATATCCACAGAATAGATTGAATTGGAAGAGCAGGGCATAAAGGAAAAGCTGTTACATTTTTTACTGAAGATGATAAACCATTATTAAGAAGTGTTGCCAATGTCATACAGCAGGTTGGATGTCCTGTACCTGAATACATAAAAGGTTTCCAGAAATTGCTAAGCAAACAAAAGAAAAAAATGATTAAGAAACCACTGGAAAGGGAGAGTATTAGTACAACTCCAAAATATTTCTTAGAGCAAGCTAAAACTAAACAGAAAAAGGCCACTGGCCAGAGCAGCAAGAAGAAGGTAACCCTTGAAGGCGAAAGTTAAAAACAAATTTTAAAAAAAGAAAATGTAATTTTATGATACCATGATATCAGCATGAATGTTGTTTTCATGGAATACTTCAAGTCTTACAATCACCACTACCAAACATCTGAAATCAACTACAAATACATGAGTCTGGGGAAAAATAATCGCTAAGCTATCAATACATCATGTCACATTTCAATTCATATGTGAAAATTATATCATGGAAATATCATTGACATTTCTGTGGTTTGAATCTAGAGACATACTTCTTATAGAAGAACAAATGCTTATGGTAAAAGTAACAACACCCAAATGTGGTGAACTCTTAAGGAATTTTCCCTTCAAGTGTGAAGGAAAGTATGATGTATGTTGTAGAGAGGCATCTAGAACAGAATTTTAAAATGTTGAGATTGAATACCCCCTCTATCCCTTTCCTCACATTTGTTTTGGCGGGGGAGGGGTAAATAAGGAGTAGCGCATGTAGTCTATCAAGAAGAAATAAATTCTCTTAATATTTCTTAATGTGTTAAAGTCTTTTGTGGTGTGAGCCACAATAAAGAAGTATCTCTTCTAAAAAAAAAAAAAAGAAAGAAAGAAAGGAATGACCAGTTTTCCATATCTAAGGCCTAAAGAAATCATAGAGAACCTACTAGAAATCATTCTGCAGTAAAGATTTAGTATATTTCTACCTTCCTTTCTCTTGAGAATTCCTGGGCAGTAAAAAGAAAGAAATTTCTCTTAAGCAGATGTTTTCACCAATGGAAGTTGGTAACTATAAGTAGAGTGAAGAGCTTAAGAGAATGTAGAGAAACTGTAATTAACTTTGGTAAAAATGGAAACTTCCACAATCTAATAAGTTTTGCAAATCATTTGCAAGTGTTACTTGATCTTTTCCTACATTTTTCCTAGTTCTGAAAATTGGCATCCTGCTAGCAGAGTACTAGAGGCATCTAGTAAAGCTAATGTGAAAATATCAAATGGAAAAAGGTATCAGACAGGGCTGAGGGCGTAGCTCAGTGGTTGAGTGTTTGCCTAGCATGCATGAGGGCCTGGGTTCAATCTCCAGGGCATTAAAAAAAGTTCTGCCAGGTGTGGTGGTTCTTGTCTATAATTCCGGCTCTCAGGAGGCAGAGGTAGAGGGATGGCAAATTTGAGGCTAGCCTACGCTACAAAGTGAGTTCGAGGCCGGCCTGGACAAAACCCTGTCTTAAAAAAAAAGGAAAAAGAATAAAACGAGCTGTTTGTATCTTCATAGTTTTGTCAAAGTTTTGTTTCAAGATAAAATTCTCCCTGGATCTTCCTTGATATGATTAGCTAGGATCCTGTTCTTTTCAGAATCTGGTACATTCTTCTAGTTCTTTTCAGAGCAGGAATTCCATTGGTGAATACAACTTGATACCTTTTCATCTCTATTTCCAGCAAAAAAAAAGTGTCAACTAAAATCTTATATTTAAAGAATTCTTCCAGTGTCGGCTCCATCATCTTTAGTATTTTATCAATATTTAATAATGAAATTCATGCTTTTAAATATTACACTTTGTGCTTAGACACCGTAAGAAAAGAGCAGTGCTACTATCAAACCTCTGACATCAGTACCATAAGATTTTAAAAATATATAAATTGTTATAATTTATGTATTTGGGTAGTTGTACTGTAAGTACTCTATGTAAGTATTCTAGGAAAAGTTCAAACCACTAAACATATTCATTGTTAATTTAGAAGAGATTTGTGTGAAAGGCAGTATGTTACTAGTTTTCAGCATATAGAAATACCTTTATTATAAAGAACTCAATTCTTTTATATGTGTTTTGTGGTATTACAGTGTATTCTGTTCATTTCTACTGAAGTTTTGCTTGGAGGTAAATGTAAGCAACACCAAGCATCTTTTCCCTCTACTCCCTGTCTAGCATTCCATTGTGCTTTCTTCTTATGCCTCTTTATTGCCTACTCACATCCAAACCCATTCCCTGGCACCAACATAAAATTTTTGTCTTTTGACTTTTTTTTTTTACAGTAATGTAACAGATTTATTAGTTAATTTTTTAGTACTTGTGCTTTCCTTTTTTACAAAAGAAATTACTGGTCATCATTTTTTCTACAAGCAGAATCCTTAGCACCTCCTTATCACATTTGGCAAATTAATAACCCTCCCTAACTAGAGGGACCTGAGTACTTTCTTCAGACCCATGTCTTCATACTATGTCAAGTCCAAGGAAGTGCGTAGAGCCTATAGGGATCCCACTTTCAAGAGAACAGCATCAATTTATGTTTCTTCAAACTTGCATTCCAAGCAAAATTATGTTGCTAAAATTAGTTCTATATTGAAGAAGAAAAGAATAAAAGAAAAACTGTTCTTCTGGAATATTTCCTATAAGTGACTTGTAGCAACTTATGTTACAGCCCACAATTGATGAGAAAATTCAACTGGTACCAAAAGCACAGCTGGGCAGCTGGGGAAAAGGCAGCAGCGGTGGAGCAAAGGCAAGCGAGACTGGTATGTGTGGAGTTGCCCTCTGGCCTAAGCTGCTTTCCCATGGCATTGATGACTTTAGACCAGTTATGCTCAACATTTATTGGTGGTCCACTCTAACATAAACAAAAGACTTCCTCTTCAGTAAGCATTCTTAGATTTTTAAAATACTTGAAAACATTTTTCAGTTCAGTTAAGCTATTTTTAAATAATTTTTATTTTATTTACTTTTTTGTTTTATGATACAGGATCTTCTAATGTAGCCCACAGTGGCCTCAAACTTGTGATCCTCCTGCCTTGGTGCTCCAAATGCTGGGATTACAGGTCTGCGCCACAGGCTTGCCTTAAAATTTTTTAATAGGTATATAGCATTTGTATGTATCTACAGAATACATACATATATGCAGTACATGTACACTATGTGTAACAAGCAGATCAGGGCAATTGGCATATTTACCAACATTTGTCATTTTTTTGTGTTGGACATGTTCAAAATCTTTTGTAGAACTGTTTTGAAATATTCAATTAACTCTTACCAACCATAGATATCCTACTATTTCATAGATCAGTAGAAGTCATTCCTGCTGTACATTTTACCCACTCCAGCAGCCGTTTTTTGTGTTGGATATTTTTTTGAGATAGGATCTTGTGAACTGTATTTGCCCTGGGCTAGGTTCAAATAGCAATCCTCCTGATCTCTGCCTCCCAAGTATCTGGGATTATAGGAATGAGCCACCACTGTCTTACTTTCCTTAAGTTTAAAAAATTTTATTATTCATTTAAAATGAATGATGCATAATTTTACATAAATGAGATCATAGTATTTATATTGGTTAAGTTGTTGTTTATTTTGGTCTGCTTCCCTCCTGTTTACCATACCTGTCCCTGTGCCCTTCTCTAAATAAAACTTATATGTGTTTATCAAAGTGAAAATTGTAATAAGCAAAGATCTCTAAATGCTTCTTTCCCATCTAGATTTCCTGTAATGCTTCACTTTTTCGAGTATGGCAGATGGACTAGGAGATTGGTATCATTTGAACCTGTTTTTGGTGGCACTGAAGTTTGAACTCAGGGCCTCATGCTTGCCAGGCAGGCACTTTTGAGCTCCTTCACCAGCCCTCACCAGAACTTCCTAGGCATTCCTGGTCTCAGTCCAGGAATGGCTGCGAGTACCTGGAGGATCACTTGAGCCCCAGGAGTTCAGGCCCCCCCCAGGAAAACGTGATGAGATCCATAGCAAACATTTAAAAAATAATATAAAATAAATTCCTAGTTCTGGGCCATAACCCAAGGATAGAAGTAAATGAGTATCTGCATTTTAGTCATGTGGTTTGTTTTGTTTTGTTTTGTTTCTTTCTAAATTCTCAACAACTATAGATGCCTTACGGTCAAGTGCTTCCAGTTTAAATAGATTTTCTGCTCTGCAACCTCCAGCACCATCTGGGTCCTCATCGGTCACGCCTTTAGAGTTTGATTCCCGGAGGACATTAACCAGGTAAAAGTCATACTTTTCATGTTTACTCAAGGCTGTCCTGCTTGTCAATATGTCTTCCTGTCTCTCTCACATTTACATGGATTATAATGATAATCCTATGAATGCATTCATTTCATCCCTGAAATTGGTCTCTCTTAATCTTGACACACTATAATCTCTAAGGTAGGAACATAATTGAGTATTGTGTTTGGGAAGGGATGGGAGAGAAAGGTGGTTATCTGGCAATAATAATAATTTCTTCCTTAAGAAAGCCGGGACAACTTGAAGAGCACCATAGATGTGTCTAGGGTTTTCCAAGCTACTGCTAGCATGCCATAGTATAACATTGGACTCAGAAGCATGTGGATTAAGGAACATGACAGCCCACCATGTGCTTCTCACACTGTTATTCAACTTGTATTTAGCTTGTTTTGTAATTTTTTGTAGTCTCTATGCCTAATGTACTGTCTTGCTTTTGCTTTTTTTTTTCTATTGGCTTTCTTTTTTATATTAGCATATATTAATTGTACAAAATAATGGGTTTCATTGTGACATTTTCATACATATACACAGTCAAGCATTCTTTTGTCTGGTTTACCTAGAATGATGGAGGACCTATATAGCACAGTGACAGAGTAAATTTTTTTGGTGGTACTGGGGTTTGAATTCAAGGCCTCATGCTTGCTAGTCAGGCACTCTACTGATTGAACCAGGCTTCCAGCCTGAAAATTTTTGAGATAAGCATTTGAAGAGCTGAAGTTTCTTTGAGCTCACAACCTTTTGTGTTACTATTACTTTGAGAGATTCATTCGTTAGACTTTCCAAACTACATTGCTCATTCCCTGGGCTTCTTAGCACAACTTTTAAGGAGCACTTGGATTGTTCTTCAGTGTCACTTGTGCTGTTGAGGGATTTGTGGCTCTTTACATTGCCTTGCATTTCCCCTGGTAGCTGTGCTCTTCAGGTCCCTGCATATGTTCTCTGATAGTTGTTGGTCTTTTGTCCAACTTGACTCTTTCCTCTCATATCCCTTCTAATTTGCTGCTTCCGAACTGCCATGAGCCAACAAACTGGTTGCCTAGCTGATTAGAATTGTCCAAAGGAGGAATAAATGGGGACATTCAGAGTCTCTCCTAAAATGAATACAGTATATGACTCTGGCTATTCAAAGTCTGCTTCTACTTATTTCTCAAATAATTTCCATATATTTGAAGTTCTTCAAGAATTACAGCATCATCACATAGTTTGTAACTAGTGATCTTATGACATTTGTTTCCCTTTAATTCATTTAGCTCATATGCTTTTATCTGTCTTTTTTTTTTCTTAAAAGAGTTTTATGAACTAATGTAAGGAAATAGTATTGATATTTAAAATTTTTGCATAGGCTTGGAGTAGCTCTCCATGGTGCAGCATGTGCTTTGCATGCTCAAGATGGCACCAGAAGAGAAGGAAAGAGAGAGAGAAACCTAAAATTAAAAATAAGCATTTTAAATACTGGCTTTTTACCATTAGAGGAAAAGAAATAAAACACCATAATAAATACTCCCTTTAAATCACTCTGACTTTTTATGTTTATATGTGTAATTATACTTTGAAATATAATTGATTCCTCGCATCTAAAGTTATCTTGGAAATCACTTTTCCTACTTTTAATATTATTTTACAATATGAAGGTAAAGAGGATAGGATTGTCTTCTTTTGAAAAGTGTTGTTTTGTCTTTTAAGTCGTGGAAGCATGGGCAGGGAGAAGAATGATAAGCCCCTTCCATCTGTGGCAGCCCGTCCAAACACCTTCATGAGGGGCGGAAGCAGCAAAGACCTGCTGGACAACCAGTCTCAAGAAGAGCAGCGGAGAGAGATGCTGGAGACTGTGAAACAGCTTACGGGAGGGGTGGACATGGAGAGGGGTAGCACAGAGGCTGACCGAAGCAAAATGAGGGAGGCAGGTGAGAGCTTTGCTTGCTTTCTTTTTTTTTTTTTTTTTTTTTTTTTTTGTTGTTGTTGTTTTTGGACTGGAGTTTGAACTCACAGCCTTGTGCTTACTATTGCTAGACATGCACTCCCCAACTTGAGCCATGCCACCAGTGCTTTTCTGATTTCATTATTTTTTCAGATACGGTCTCATGTCCACCCTAGGATTTTGATTGTCCTACCTATCCCTCATGTAGCTGGAATTACAGACTTAAACCACTGCTCCTGGTTTGTTTGTTGAAATGGGGTCTCACTTTTTTTTGTGGGGCCTGGCTTCAAACTATGAACATCTTGATCTCTGTCTCCCAACTAACTATTATTACAAGAATGTTCTACCACACCCAACTAGATGCAAGACTTTCTAAAGACAGATATGTAAGGCCAAAGATCACTGGTCTTAAATTTGGAAGAAAAAATGCAAAGACTTTGTGTCTGAGTAGAATTCACAATCAACACAATATAGCATATGTTTTAGTCCCTTGAAACTTACTGGGCAGCCTGGTTATTTTTTATGTTCTCATTCCTTCTGATTCCCTAGGAGTGCCTTTGCTCACCAATTTTTAAATTTTTGCCTTTCTCCATTAAATGTTTTTTGTTTTGTTTTGTTTTCATTTTTTTGGCAGTACTGGGGTTTGAACTTAGGGCTCGATAAATATTACAGTAACAAGGTTCTCTTTCTCTGTATATAAAGCAATTGAGTTTGCCACAAACCCCTTAGACACCCCACTGCACATTGCTGCTAGAGTGCACATGCTGTGTGAAGCCCCTCAAGTTTGTGAAGCTGCTGCTTTACAAAAGAGAAGTGTTAAGTCTGTCTTTTATTGCCTCTGTCTTCCCTGGTAACCTGGGTGGGTTTAGTATGTATTTAGTGCTTAAAGACCTGCTCAGCTAATGCTGTGAATAACACTTCATGTTTGTAACCTGTGTTTCAGTTTTCTCATCTGTTGAAAAGGGTAAGTGTACCTACTTTAACACTAGAATTACAGGAAGGCCTCTATCAACTTATTCCACAAAAGATACAAGCTGGGAAAATGTCTATGAAGGAAAGGAATTTAGTTCTGTGAGGTACTTAACGAGGGAACTAGTTGGTCGTGGTGGTGATGCCTGTGATTCTAGCAATTTGGGATACAGAGATTGGGAGAATCACAGCTCAGGCAACAGGTTAGCAAGACCCCATCTCAACAACCAAGCTGAATATGCTGGTGTCTCCCAGCTGTGTGGGAAATATAGGTAGGATTAAGGTGTAAGGCTAGCCTCAGATAACAAGCTTAAGGTCCTATCTAAAGAAATAACTAAAAGCAAGAAAAGCGGTATAGGGCGCTAAAGTTGTGATTCAAATGGTAGAACATCTGCCTAGCAAGCACAAAGCCCTGATTTCAGATCCCAGTACCACAACAAAAGCAAAAAGGAAAAAAACCAATGATACATTTAGAATTAGGCTAATGTCTGATGAAGCTTTTCCTCACCTAAAGGATCAGTAGAGATGAAACAGGTTTATAGTGGACAGATGGCAGAGCAGAAGAGCACAGGAGCACCCTGAGCAAAGTTGTGGTGGGAGGAGCCATGGCATGTTCAAATCCATGCCATAGGCTAGTATGGTCAGAGATGTGCTATACAGGGCATAATCTGTGCCTCATCATTGAAACAGTAGGAGGAGTCACATACAGAAGGAAATGTTGACACTCTAATTATAAAGTTTTATAATGTCCCAAATCTTATTAATTGATGTAGGCTATGAAGGTACTTAGTGTAAATCTATTCTACAATAAAGTTTCCAGCCAGGGATCAGTGGCTCACACCTGTAGTCCTAGCTACTCAAGAGGCAGAAATCAGGAGGCTCACAGATCAAAGCCAGCCCAGGCAAATATTCCTTGAGTCTCTATCTTGAAAAAAACCCATCACACAAAAGGGCTAGTGGAATTGCTCAGAGTGTAGGCCCTGAGTTCAAACCCCAGTACCGCAAAAAGATAAATAAGTAAATAATGTTTCTGTATTCTGCTTTCTTAAACTAACATCTTTTGAACTAATAGTCTCCACTGAAAAACACATGTAACAACACATAAGTATCAACCATAATCTCAGCAGTTTAGTGGTATTTTTTATCATTTTTATTATAATTCTAACTTTTTTATCTTGCTAGTATTGAAACCAGAAATTTCAGCAATGTCAGCCCCTGACAAGTCTGCATTGTCAGAAGAGGAGATGGAGAGGAAGTCCAGATCTATCATTGATGAATTTCTACACATTAATGATTTTAAGGTAAATAAGATTTAAGAAGGAAAAAAAGCAGTAAGATAGCCCTGTGGCAGAGAGACATAGTTACTTGGTCATGGTGTAAATAAGTGTCATTATGAACTGGTGAGACTTAAAGTCAATCCTACAAGATTCAGTTTACTTAACTCTGATGCATTTCTACCATAGTGTCTTTTAAATTGACACTATGACAAAATAGAGTAGTGGAAAGAGTAATGGGCCAATCCAATCTAACAAGGAAAAACAAAATTGACTGATATTAGTCAATAAAAACTAACACTTTATCATTATGAGACATTCCTAGCACCCAGTTATGCCTATCATGGTCTTTGCAGTCATTTTGTCATCATTTTCATGTTAATCTTGAAGTATGGCTGGCATCATTTTTCCTTTATTTCATAAGTGGAAAACTGAAGCACAGAGGGACAGCAGTGTTCTAGAATCAGACAGCCTATGTGGAACATTTCATGACATGTCTTTGGACTTACCCTTCTTCTCTTTCTGCATTTTATTGTGGAAGTGAAGCTGGGCACCAGTGCTTTATGCATGTAATCCTAGTTACTTGGGAGGCCAAGATTGGGAGGACTGAGGATTGAGGATTGAGAGGATTGAGCCCAGGCAAATAGTTCATGAGACCACATTTCCAAAACAATCAGAGCAAAATGGACTGGAGGTGTGGCTTAAGCATTAGATCTCCTGCTTTGCAAGTGCAGTGCACTGAATTCAAACATCTGTCCCACAAAAAAAAAAAAAAAAAAAACCTGCTGAGTAAGCTAGACCTGCCACCTACATTATGAACCACAGTCTAGTGCAGAGACAGACCATAAACAGACAACTCCACAAACAGTTATTTAGATTGTAGGGTCTTGGAAAGATCATATAATGGAATCTAGTTTACTGGTCTAAAGTCAGGAAAGGATTATGTCTGAAAAATGTCTTCTCTGTTAAAATATTTATCAGATAATATCTCTATATTAACTACTCTTGTTTTGGCATTCTTTCAATATTACTTGTTTTCTCAGCAATCTAGTCTTTATCTGCTTTCTGTACACAAGAATCATCCAGCCTATTAAAGCCCTCAAACCTCTAAAATTCTCCAGAATCCAGAGGTAGCCAAAAAGGTTTGATGATGAATAAAGTACATAGGAATAGTTTGCAGAAACCCTTGAAATGCAGAAAAATGAACAAGTATTAACTGAAAAGAGCCAGAGAATATTAGCTAGCTTCGTGAAAAGTGAGACACATTCTTGTAAGCTGGCAGCACAGTTTTTTGTTTTTGTTTTTTTCTTGCACAGATATAAAGCAATGGGAATGACTTAGGAGAAAGAGCTATGACAGGTGAAAACTAGGAACAATAGGAAGGGAGCAGTGGAAACTAGCTTCAGACATAATTCGAAGCATGTGAGAGACAAACACTGAAAGAGAGAAATCTGACCCTGTAATAAGCTGGAGGTAGAGGGAGAAAAAGACCATGTTAACACTTCAGAGGAACAAGAAAACCTGTGGCCAATCATGAGCCCTCAGCCAGGCTTGTGGCACGGAAGGAGCAGTTGCAGCATCAGAATTGTATCACACAGTGTACATGCCAGCTGTGTCTGCAGAGTGGTTATGAGTGCTATGTAATACTGCTAGGCATTTAGTAAGGGCTGCTGTGACCTAGGTGTAGCTCCATATATTGTGTATGTATTAGTTCATGCCATCTTCATATACCCTCCAAAACTGATACTATTAGAATACCCATTTTTGCAGGTAAGAATACTGAGATGCAAAGACAAAATAACTTGCTGAAGACCATACTGGTAATAAGTGACAGATTTTAGGATTCAAAGCCAGGCTGTTAACTTCAGAACACAAACTGCATTGTCTCAGTCCCTTCAGGGTGTTAGTGTGTTAAGCAAAAGAACTTACAGAGCTCATTCTAAAGGAAGGATTTTATTTTCTCATACCTTCATAGTAAGTGCTATTGTTTTTGAACTACATATAAATTAATATTTATTGAGCCTTTATTTTGTTCCTAGCAATTTTTCAAGTGCTTTTATACATTTTTATATACATTCCTCACAGTAATCCTATGATTGGAAGTTAAGACTAAGATATATTACCTCTGAAAATCACATAGTAGTAAAAGACAGAGCCAGGATTCAAATCTTCATTTGTCTGACTCCACCGTGTATGTTTTTCACTTCTGTGCTGTATCTTTATTGAGTACCTAAAATGCGCCTCCCACATTTTAGGGGATACTGCATGGATGTCCCCTAGTATATACAATAAAAAACACACAGTTTGCTTTAATGGAACTTACATTATAGTGGGAAGATACAGAAATATAGGTAAGTGAGCAGTGGCTACCAAAGAGAAACCGATAGAGAAATAAAACTAAGTGATAAGATAGCCAGTGATGTCATCGCCTGAGAGCTCAAAGACAAGAAGCATACAATGAGGACACGAGATAGCAGGGCAAAGGTAAATCACTGTGATATTAGTTGACCCTTTATATAGACACAGTGAATGAATTTCCACTAGAATACACTTAAACCACTTTAGTTTATATACCAAAGATTGAATACTTGCATTCAATCCACACTTTCCTGAAAAGGATAACGAACCCTTGACAGCTGGTCAGAATGTGTCATGAGTGCCAGTGTCGTGGAAAGGCAAAGAGTAATAGGACTGTTGTAAATTAGAGGACTCCAAAGAAACATCGTGACGCAGAATGTCAATTCTCAGCTTGTCTCAACAACAAAAAGCTGTATTGGACATTTGAGGAAAGTTGTGGAAATTTGAAGATACCCTATGTATAAGAGGATGTCTTTACTGACATCATTGTATCAGTATAAGTATTTCGGATATGTAGAGAAAAAGGAAACTAACAATTGATAAACTTAAAATGCAGATATATAGTTGTACATCTTACTACTTTTAATTTTTCTGTAGTTTTGACATTTTTTAGATACACAGTTAATAGGGAGGGAGTATATAGCACAGGAAAAAAAAAGCAGCAGCGCAGAGACACCAGAAGAGCCTTGTTCCCCTGTCCCTGTCCCGCAGTGACTACCCTTTCCATGTGCATCTTCTGCTAAGGAGAGCTGCTTTCTTCAGAGGTTGAACCAAAAGATTGTGGACTCAGGAATGCCAACAAAGTTGGTAGTAGATGAGGGCAGGGAGGTGCACTGGTGACTGAACAGTCCTAGTGCCAGGACAAAGATCAACCTTGCCAGACATTCCAGTCAGTACCAGTTAACAGCCCCACACAAGAACTTCCTAAAAGGACATTAGTACTTAAGGTAGCCATGGTACTTAATGACAGTGAGTATTAGTATCTTTCCTATGACAGAAGACCTCTTGCATGGCAGATTGTGCAAATATCAACATTCTCGGTTGCCAACTTAAGGCCTTTGAATCATGATACTGAATTTCTATTTGAGTTTTTAATAATCATAAAATAGATAAACATTGTGTAGAAACATATATTTTGACTCTAATCCTTTGAATGACTTTTAATAAAATTAGTAACCTAAACATGTTAGCCTTATGAAAATAACTTTTTTTTTTTAACCAAGGTTTCACTATGTTGCTAAGGCCAGCTTCGAGCTCCTGGGCGCCTGTGGTCCCCTCTCCTTAGCCTTCCAAGTAACCGGGAATACAGGATGTGCTGCCACACTTAACTTTTTGCCCCCCGTTTTCCTTTTTTTTTTTTTTCTTAAGTTTTTCTTTATTACTGAGCTTTATTATGTTAAACAGCAAAAATTGAAACTTGAAAAATATCTTGTTCATGGAGTTTTCTACTGACCTTATCTGAGTAAAAATTTTTTTTAGTCCATAAGAACATCTTTGTTAATTATACTTGTTACAATCTATCTTTTTAAAAAGCAAATTACATAGAGAAATATATAAGTAAAAGTTGCACTCTCCTGTCAACTCACTCCTCATGACAGTGTTTCTCAGCAGTTAGGAGGACTGACGTTTCTTTTTTTTTTTCCCTTAAGTGTATATACAGTGAGGTTTCATTGTGATTTCCACTCATAATTCACCCCCTCTATTATTACCCTCTCGTATCTCCTTTTACCCCCTTTTTAAAAAATAGTTTTTAGTGGGTTTCAGTATGCTATCTTAATAAAAGATGTTAAACTTAACATCAGATTTTTGAGTAAGCCTTTATGTGTTGTTTGAACAGGAAGCCATGCAGTGTGTAGAGGAGCTGAATGCCCAGGGCCTGCTGCATGTTTTTGTGAGAGTGGGAGTGGAGTCTACCCTGGAAAGGAGCCAGATCACCAGGGATCACATGGGCCAATTACTATATCAGCTGATGCAGTCAGAAAAACTCAGCAAACAGGACTTTTTCAAAGGGTTAGTATCCTCAAGAGTGGTATTCAGTTACTAGACTTTTAGGTAATAATTACTTTTTCAATAGATGGAAATTGTGTCCACTATAATTTGTTTATATGATGTAATGTATTGATGATATATTAATTGATATGATGGATTTCATAGACCTAGATTATCTGCTGGTTTTCTCTTTCTTAGACTTATATCAAAGTCAGTAATGTAGCAGACCTTGGTTTCATTTACATGTAAATCTGCATGTTCTTTGAAGAAAAAGCTTTTCTGCCAGATGTGGTGGGGTGTGCCTGTAATCCCAGCTGTTCAGGAGGCATAGGTAGGACTGAAGTTTAAGGCCAGCCCAGGCAAAGTTAGTATGAGACCCTATGCAAAAAAGCAAAAGGATTGGGAGTGTGCTTAAGTGGTAGAGCATTTGACTAGCAAGTGCGAGGCCATGAGTTCAGACTTTTTTCTTTGTGAGGAAAATTGACTTCAAGCCTTATCCTTTAATAAACTATGATTATTGGGACCAGAAATTGCTTTCTCTTCACTCTAGCCAGATTGAAGAATATGTGAATCTATTTTCTTAATGATTTTATCTATTCTGGTTTGCTTTCATTGACTCTTGTCTGCTGCTGTTGGTGAGGTTTAACTATTATTGGTGTTGCCTCCTGGTTTAGTCAGATTCTGCTATATTTGTGATACACTTTCACTATAGTACACAGACCAGGTTGCTTGTGGTTTAACCACAGTATTTTAACCCTGAATGAGGTTCTAAAGTCAATGTTTATCTCCCTGTTGTCATTTCAAATACAGCCAACCTCTGAAGATATTACTGCTAAGTGCCATGGTTAAATTTTCTTAGTGATAACTACTTTTTGATTTTGCAAAGAATTATGACATTATCATCAAGGTCCTAGAAAATTCATACTTGCCTCTAGTATCATTAAGAAGTTGTATTTCAGAGCTGGTAGAGTGCTCTTGAGCAAGCATGAGGTCCTGAATTCAATCTCCAGTACCACCCCGCCCCCCCAAAAAAAGAAAATGGAGGCTGTTACGTTCCAACAGTACTCTATATTTCTCTGAATTAATTAGTTTAAGACCATTTGAGCCAGTTAACTTAGTAAGGAGCTTTGGCAAAAGTTGCTGTGGCTATTGGCCTTTAAGGGCCAGGATGACTTCTCAGTTCTATTTTTATTTTTATTTTTTGCAGTACTGGGGTTTGAACTCAGGGTTTTCACCTTGAGCCACTCTACCAGCACTTTTTTTTGTGTGATTGGTTTTTTTCAAGATAGTCTCAAGAACTGTTTGCCCGGGGTTGGCTTCAAACCACGATCCTCCTGATCTCTGCCTCCCGAGTAGCTAGGATTACAGGCATGCGCCACCAACACCTGGCTGTTTTCTCAGTTTTAAAAGAAATGTCTGAGCTAAGTTCCAGTGGCTCATGCTTATAATCCTGGCTACTTAAGGCCAGCCCAGGCAAATTGTGAGATCCCATTTCCAAAATATTTGGAGCAAAATGGACCAGAGGTGTAAGCCACATATTGATAAATATATCAATTTATAAATATTTACCTTTTACCCAGATATAATAGTAAATTCCTCCAGAACATTCTGGAAATTAGAATGCTGGATTACTGTTTGTCATGTTTTGTCTCTTCTAGCAATACTTCGAAGTTCCACTAACTATAATTGACCTTGTAAGATACTAACTTAGTTTCAAGGATTTCTCAGACAGCTGCATTTCCCTTTGTGTGGTATCCTGAAGAAAAACTGTCACATCCAGATATGGCGCTACACTATCTTTGCTGATGGCACTGTTGCTTCTATTTCTATAACTACCAAACTATGACATTTTATTTAGAGAGCAAATGAAATTAATGCTACTATTTTGGCAATTCACCATTTTCCATCCCTGCTTTCTAATATAATACAGTAGTAGTTCCAGGCCTAGCTTTTGATACCTAGTTAGACCTAACCCAGCTATCTTAAACCCAAGACCCATAAAAGTTATATTATTTCTTCCTAAATGGAGCGACCTGACAATCTTGTGTTCTCTTTTTTTCCAAAATGGAAGCAAAGGGATAGCCCATGTCATTATCCACCAAAAACCTTCTTGCAGGTAGATCAGAATTTCCCAGTCCCTTTTCGATCCTGAGTTTATTTGGTTTTGTAGTGCTTGGCTCCAGGCCTCACACATGCTGACCCTGCACCTTGCTGCTAAGCTTATCCTACACCCTGGGTTTAGTTTATTTTACACTGTCCATGCTGTCCACAGAGGCTACCTGATGGGAGCCCCAGAGAGTCTCAGCACCCAAACATCTCTGTCTTTCCATAACATTATAAAGGACATCTGAGATCAGCTTCGTCGGATGCTGCTTCTGCTGAGATGTCAACTTCTCAGCAGTCGGAAAGCACTTTCTATCATTCCCCAAGCCAGCAATGACTGGGAAGCAGAAGGTCTCTAGATGCATTGTCCTTGGTGACCTAGCTAGTAATCTTCCATTTCCTCCTGCTGTTCCCTTCAGGGCATGCACTGCTACAATGTAGAAAAGTACACAGAAGATTTAAATAGGCTTTATAAGTTACGCCTGGGTCCTTCGGAGTTTTCCTAGGAAATGATGTATCTCGTGAGCATATTTAGTTCTGTGTAAAACCTCCTTAAAGATAAAGCCAACCATCCATATTAGTTACTTTTCTCAACGCTGGGACCTAAACAACCTGTTCTGGTTTCAATATGAAATGTTCCCCATAGGCTTATGTTTTGAAAGCTTCATCCCCAGCTGGTGATACTATTTTGTGGAGACTTTGGGAAGGAGGGGCCAAGCTGAAGAAGTAAGTCACGAAGGGCATGCCTTGGAAGGTTATACCTGTTCCCTACTTCCCTTCCTCACTGTCTGCTTTCTATCATGTAGTAAACAGCTCTCTTCTGTACACTGTCTATACTCTCCACTGCCATCTCTGCCATGATGTTCTGTCTAAGCACAGTGGTCTGAGTGACCATGGATTGAACACTGTGAAACCGTGAGCCACCTTTATCTGTTAAATTGTTTATATCAGGTATTTTATCACAGCAGTAATAAAAATAATGTACACACAACCTAAAGAGATAAAAGATTTATTTTGGCTCACAGTTTCAGAATTGTCCATCCATGATGGCAGGGAGGGCATGGTATAACAGTTTACATCATGAGAGCTAGGAAACAAGAGAAAGGGAATATAAGAAGAGGCCAGCCCCCAAAGGCAGCCTCCAGAAACCTTCTTCCTCAGCTAGATCCCACCTCCTATTTTTTACCACTTTTAAATGATGCCATCCTATGAAAATCCATCAAGAGTTTAATCCATTCATAAGGTCAGTGTCTTCATGGCATAATCATCTCTGGAATCATCCTTACAGACACACCCTGAGATGGACTTTACTAATCTCCTAGGCATTTCTCCATCTAATCAAGTTGAGAATTAAGATCAATCTTTATACCATCCTTTTGGAATTTTCAGGACTACAGCACAAACTAGGTAGGTAGGTGCATTATGGTATAGGTAGATCCATTTCAGATGGTGTCAATTAGCTGTTTTTTCATAATTTTAGAGAAAAAAAATAATTTCTAAAAACAATTTAGTAGCCGTAGTTGTGGGCAGAATTAGAATTAGAATGACCACAGGATGACAATGACTGAAAGTATAATTAAGTAAATAAAAATCAAAATAGTAAAAATTGGAGTTGGCAGTAGGCACAAAAGAGGAAGTTGAATGCAATAATACTTTACTTTGGGTGATGTTTATTGGAAAGGAAATTCTTATCTCTTCCTGACTACTTTTCTGGAACTACTTGTGGCAATTCTGCTTTAATAAAGGACCTTACGTAGACATGCATACTAATGCAGAGTATAAAAAGGCTTTTCATCTTTTTTTCATTTCTCTTTTAGCTGTAGCTGTTACTCTTATATCAATCATAGCACTTGACCAATCTGATTTTCACATGACTTTAGTAGCTCTTATTTAACTAACAGCAAAACTTTTATTAAATTATTATAATACAAGTTGTGGAAGATGCTTTTGACAATACTGTTTTCTTTTTCAAATTTATATTTTAATTAATCATAATTATATACATTGATGAAGTAAAATGTGGTGTTTTGATATATATGGAATGTGGGTTGATTAAATGAAACTAATATTTTCATCACCTGACTTTTGTTGTGAGACATTTGAAGTTTATTATTTTAAAATATACAGTGTATTATAATTGACTATAACACCCTACCGCTCAGTAGATCTCAAAGCTATTCCTCCTGTCTGTCTGAAACTTTGTACCTTTGACAAACTACTTAGCATAATATCCTTCAGACTCATCCACATTTTCAAAAATGATAATTCATGAACACCTTAAGGCTGAGTAATATTTCAGTGTGTGTGTGTGTAAATACATTTTTTTTGCCCATCTGTTGATGGACCTCTGTATTGATTCTGTAATAAACAGCATTATTCCATTCACATACTGATATTACTTCCTTTGAATATATACCCAGTAGTAGGATTACTACATCATATTGTAGTTACAGTTTTAGTTCTTTGTGGAACCTCCATTACTGTTTTTCATAATGGCTGTACTAATTTACATTCTCACCATCAATGTACAAGAGTTCCCTTTTGCCTATATCCTCACCAGCATTATCTTTCATCTTTTTGATAAAAGCCCATTCTAACAGGCATGAGGTGATAGCTCATTGTGGGTTTAATTTACATTTCTCCAGTGGTTAGTGATACTGACAATTTTTTTCATGTACCTGCTGGCCATTTATCTTTCTTCTCCCTTCTTCCCTCCTCCCCCCCACCCAACTTGGTGGTACTAAGGTTTGAACTTAGTGCTTTGCATTTGCCAGACAGGCATTCTTCCACTTGAGCCTCTCTGCCAGCCATCTGTCTTCTTTTGAAAAATGTTGGTTCAGGTCCTTAGGTTCAGGTCCTTAGATCCTTTCCCAGTTTTTAATTGGGTTCTTTGTTTTCTTGCTAATTAATTATTTTACTTTCTTATATGTTTTGTTTTTCATTTAAGCTGTTTTCAATTAGAGTTGTTTATAAGTTCACTTTATTCTTGCATTTTCTCAATTGTTTCTTCCTTATATTTGCCCTTTTCCTTTCTGACTTGGCAAGACTTGGCTTTCTGTTCCAGGATCTTTTTGCAGTCTTTGTTTAGTTTTAGCCTGGTAATAACCATCTTGCTGGGGTGAATGCCCCCATGGACAGTGGTGGCATTAGCCTTTTTCCACTGTACCATTCAGTGTAGTATACCTGGACTACTTTGCCAATCTGTTGACCTTTATAGTGCCCTCGTAATCCTGAACGTCATCATCCTTTTGGATGGGCATGAATCAAACATTGTACTCTTGTCTCAGCCCTTTGAAAAGAGGGGAACACATAATCTCCCTGCAAATGCGGGATGGTGCGTTGAAATGCCTTTTATTACCATTCTTGCTTTAGTCGGAAGTCACAAAGGATGAACTTCATTTTGGTTGCTGCCATTTTAGCCTTGGCCCAAAAGGGAAGAGCACTTCCTTATATATTTTGGATATTAACCCCTCATCAGATATATAGTTAACAAATGTTTTCTCCCATTTTGTGAGTTGTCTCTGTACTTTGTTGTTTTCTTTCCTCATCAAACTTTTAGTTTTATGTAATCCTATTGTCTATTTTTGCTTTGGTTGCCTACACCTTTGGTCATATTCTAAAAATTGTTGCCCATACCAATATAGAGCCTTCCCCCTCCATGTTTTCCTCTGTGGCTTCATGGTCTTACATTTACATCTTTAATCCATTTTGAGTTGATTTTTACATTTCATTCATTTTTGTGCATTTCATTCATTTTGTACGATTTCATTCTTCTGCATGTGATTGCCTAATTTTCCTAACACCCTTTTTTAATAAGTCTGTCCTTTCCTGGTTGTATATTCTTACAACTTTGTCGAAAGTCAGTTGACCTTAAATGCATTGTTTGTTAGTTTCCAATTCTGTCCCATTGGTCATTATATCTGTTTTATGCCAATTCCATGCTGTTTTGCTTACAGTTGCTTTATAGTGTATCTTGGCAGTACTGGAATTTGAACACTGGGCCCATGCTTTACCACTTGAGCCATACCCCAGCTTTCAGCATTGTTCTTTTTGCCAACATTTCTTTGGCTATTTGGTGTCTTTTATGGTTCTGTACAAATTTAGGGGTTGTCTAAATCTGTGAAAAATGACATTGGAACTTTGATAGGAATTACATTGCATCTGTAGATCACTTTAAACAGCATGGACATTTTAACAACTTTAATTCTGCTAACTCATCAGCTTGAGATATTTTTCCTGTTATTTTTGGTTTTTCAATTACTTTTATGAGCGTTTTAAAGTTTTCAGTATGTAGGTATTTTGCCTCCTTGATTAGATTTATTCCTAAGTATTTTTGTTGTTATTATTGTTGCTATATAAATGGGATGGTTTTCTTAATTTGTTTTTTGGCTAATTTGCAGTCCAATGGATATGGTAGTCACTACATACCAAGAATTAAAGGTATGGTTGTAACTCATTTGACCCATTGAAGATAGGTATTGTACAAGGCATAGTTCTTGTCTATGTAGTAGTTCAAAGACAAAGATAGTTATCTAGAGTTTCTATGTACCTAGGATTTTTCTTTTAAAATCATGTGAAGGGAGTTAGAAACTATGAACTTGGAAAAGTAAGTCTCTTAGGGACTTTTTCTACGAAAAGCCTATGTTCAACCAAAACATTTTATCAGCAGTATGGATTTAACCACTGATTGTGGGTTTTTTTGGTTTTGGGCAGCACTGGGTTTGAACTCAGGGCCTCACACTTGCTGGGCAGGCTCCCTACCACTTTAGCCACCCTGCCAGCCAATTTTTGGGTTGGGTTTTTTTCGAGATAGAGTCTCACAAACTATTGCCTGGGGCTGGCTTCAAACTTGAGATTCTCCTGATTTCTGCCTCCTGAGTAGCTAGGATTATAGACGTGAGCCACCAGCACTTGGCCTGATTGTTTTATAAACTGTCCCTTGATGAACTGACTGACTAAGTAGAAGAAAACCAAGTCAAGAATGGGTATCTTGTATTTGGAATATGAGATGAAAATAATAGATAGATTTTTGAAAGACCAGAATAGCTACAGCTGTCTCTTGAGCATATTAAATAGTTTAATATATGCTGATAACCCACAAAGCGTAAACTAGCAGGATCCAAGTGATTGACCCAGAAATTCTGGAGTCCAGCCATATTATGTTCCACCAGTGCACATTAACAGCTGAAAGTATACACTAAATGACTGAGTAATCCTGCATCTGATTTGTAGCAAATAGATGCCAGATAATCACAGACTCTGAAGTTGACATTAAGGATTCATGAAACCCAGAGTTAAATGATGTGGCTGAGCTACCACCTATTTTGAAACGGCAGCTCAAGAAAGGTGACCCTGCCTGGTAGTGGGAGCTCTTTTTAAGTGAGAAAGGTTAATAATAGATAGGCCACTGAGCTGAAGTGGCATACTCTGACTAGAACGTGGATCGTGGTAGAAAAGCACGCTTTCTGAATTTAGAGCTTTGAAAAGCTATAAATGCAAACACTACCTATTCTTGGTCCCTTCATTCATTCCTCCCTTTCCTTATGACTTGTAATTATGTGTATGTCTCTCACCTCTGTATTTGTACTTTTAATATGCTGCATATAGAAATAATTAACAAAGTCTTGAATTGTTTTCACTTGTAAATGAATAGTTGTGATTTTTAACCTAACCAGCACTATGCTAGTATTTTGTATTTGACTCTCCCAAGTCTTGTTTTGTTTTGTTTGAGATTGGGTCTGGTTATGGTGCCCAGGCTGTCGTGAAACTTAAAATCCTCCTCGCCTCACATATAGGTAGGACTGCAGGTGTGTGCCATAGCATCTAGCTCCTTTACTTATATTTAATTCCCATGTATTTTATTTCACATTCTCTTATTTACTTAAGAAATGTTTATATTTCATAGCACAAAATCCTGAAAACATTAGCTTTTCTTGAGAAGTACAATAATTTGCAACATGTATTGATGGTATTAGTAATGTCAGACTTCTTACAGCTATCCAGCTTACCCATCAGAAGGTTCTCTAGGAGAAAGAGGTTTGTCTTTTCTTCTCTTTGCATCTGGCCTACATTATAGAGTGTGTTTACTCAGTGCTTCTGACTGACTCAGGATGTGCTATTCATATTCTCGTTTATGCATTTTGGGAATGATAATTTGCCAGTCACTTTATGGCTAGATTGGTGTCTGACATGGCAGGTACTTAATTTGTAATTATTGAGTAATTGATTTTTGGTCTTTTTATTTAATTTTTACTTTGAAATTACATTTGCATTGAATTTTCTTCCTGTTGTTTTTCAGCTTTTCAGAAACCTTGGAATTGGCAGATGACATGGCCATTGATATTCCCCATATTTGGTTGTACCTTGCTGAACTGGTGACTCCCATGTTAAAAGAAGGTGGAATCTCCATGAGAGAACTTATCACGTAAGTTACACTTGTTTCTTTTGATGTGCATCAGGCTAAACTGACAGAAAGCTCACAAATCTCAAAGCTGACTTTCTAGTGTACTGCTGTCCTGTTAGTGCCTCTGGAGACTTATTTGCAGCCTGTGACTCAGACTTCTGCTTGCACTGTGAAAATGCTATACTTGATCTATACTGGGGACATGGAAGAGATTTGATAGCCCTGTAGTCTGTTGACAGTAGCAGTGATTGTAGGTGTGGCTCTACAGTTATGTAACTAGAAGATGATGAATTCTAGAAGCTTCAGTGTTAATCTGACTTTTGTGTCTATCAGTGCTTTCAGTGCTCTAAGAGTTACATTTTCACATTGTAGCTTGTCAAGCTGTGGAATGTGCATAGTACATGTTCATGGTTATAACAAAAGTATTCCTAGATTTTGGATGTGTAAGGGGGAATAGATGCTACAAAACTCTAGTGTTTCTCCTAAAACTTGTATATTATCAGACCTGGATAGTTTTGTGTCCCTCTTCTTTGAGATTCACAAAATATTATTGCACAATGCAGGTTATGAGAATTCCATAGGAAAACAAAACATTAAGAATGACTTAGCTTTGATTAAGTCAGCATTGCCTCATTTAATTACAGCAGAATATTTTTTTCAGATAAATTACTGATATCATTTCACTGTTTGGAATACACTGATTTAGGCCATGAAGAAAACTCATCCCCCGTATTGTAAAGAAAGCTTTCTTTCTTAAAAGCACCATGTCACTAAGCTTCACCACCCTCTTACCTCTCCTTTTGGGTTGAAGAGGAGCTTATATATACAAATAGATTACTAAGTCACACTGACCTTTTTGTTCTGCTTTATTCTCTTAATGGAATGATTAAAGAAGGACAAAACCCAAATATACTAAAGTCCCTTTTCTGCTTCTCCACAAAGCCTAAAGTGAACCTAAAGTCTGTGAACTCCAACTGAAAAGGACCTTTAGAGCTTTGGCTTGCCTAGTACTCCTTAGGTTGCATAGTATCTTTCTGGCACCCATTTGCCTGCCGCTCAAGAACAGAGAATTTGTTCAGAGGTATTTAATCACTGCTCCTGTCTTTTACAGAGAATTTAGCAAACCTTTACTTCCTGTTGGAAGAGCTGGGGTATTGCTTTCTGAAATATTGCATCTTCTATGCAAACAAATGGTGAGTGTTTAACTGAGTGTTAGATTCAATAGCATGTTTAAAAGGCCAGTGTTTTTGATCTTGGGTTTTCATGAAAGCTTAGGTCTCAGTGTACAAGTAATTCTATTTTCTTTTAGCCTTTGAAAGACCTGTTTCCTTCAGAGATGTATTTGTTCTTTTGTTTACAAATACCTTGGGGTATTTATATTTTATCTCAACTAGATTTGGTATCATTCTGAAGACTCTCAAAATATGTGAATTTTTTTAAGTAACTGATTTTTACTTATTACAGTTCTCCCTCATCTATTTTTGCTAACAAATATGGTTCACATTTTTTCACAATATTGTGAAAATAATTTTTGTATTTTTGGGCAGCAAGGTTTGCATTAAAGGTTCCATCCTTGGCATATGTTATGTTAATCCAGAGTTTCTGAGAGATAGGGATGCTGTTTTCACTTTTTTTTTTTTTAAGATAATAATTTGTGATTGGTAATTTTGTCTTTTCTTGAAACAAGTAACTTAATGTTCTACTTAGGAGGCAGAGCTCAGGTGGGTCATGGTTTGAAGCAACCTGAGCAAAAAAAAAAAAAAATTACAAAAGGGCTGGTGGAGTGGTGTAGGCCCTGAGTTATACCACCAAAAAAAGTACCACAAAAAAAAAAAAAAAAAAAAAAAAAAACCCTTTATAAATCCTATCTCTGAAACAGAGTAGGGTTTGTTTTTTTTTTTGTTACTTTTGATTCATGGGAAACTAATCTGGTTATAAATAGGTGATAAAAATGGTTTTGCAGACCAGGTGCCAGTGGCTCACAACTGTAACCCTAGTTACTTGGGAGGCTGAGACCAGGAGGATTGCAATTTGAGGCCAGTCCAGGCAAATAGTTTACAAGACCCCATGTCCAAAATAACCAGAGCAAAATGGACTGTGCAGAGCCTTATGCTAAGCTCTCAATCTACAAAAATAACTTAATCCTTCAAAGAATTTATAGACTTGAGAGGGAGAAGACAAATCTAAACCATTCATTCTAAGTGTGTAGAAGTACTTTAGAAGGTCTAAGAGGGATAGAAAGTATTATGACATCACAAAGGAAATGTCTAGGAAGAGAGAGACATCAAAAGAGAACTCACCAGAGAAGTGACATCTAACATTCACAAACCTGAGCCAGAGATATTGGGGTGATAGATTACAAAATTTTAAAGCATTACAGTGAGCCTCCTGAAGTCCTTATGTATCCCGATTTGTGCAATGGTATTTGTGGATAATATGCAGTAAATACCTGGATTCTATTGATTATCTATTAGCGATACTCATTGCTTAGTGGCACTTCAGTGTTTACTGAGTCCTAGTTTTTTAAGTCTAAAATTCCTTCTGCTGCCTACTTGACTTTATTCCCTACTTAAAACTCAAATTCTTACTAACTTTTATTCTTATAAATAGAAGGCAAATTCTCACTTCTAAATAAAACCAAGTTTTCTGAGAGTATAAGCTCAGACCCAGAGATCCTATTTTCTGATCTTGTAGAAACAAGTAGACCTGCACCTCCTTATGTTTTTCTAGCTGACAATAGCTCTTCTCTGTTGTTTCTTGGTGCTTCTTACTCTTAAAACAGTTCTCATGCCTGATTCAAGAACAACAACTTCCTTAAGCAGTCTTATATCAGAAGTGTAAATGTGATCTGTGAAAAGGGATTCCAGTGTGGCTTGTGAAATAGCTTTAATAGAAAGCACAGATGCAGAGCTATCTAGGAAAAGAGACAATATTAGATTTATCAACTCTGAATTGGACTTTTTTTTGGTGATTGGATTATATAACATTAAATACCAGCTTGCAGTTTCCCAGGTTAGTCATCTGGTAAATTATTGAACCACACACAACTATACTTGAGTCTTTCAACATTATGTTTCTATACATTCAGACATCCCAATTTGAAAGACAAGAGTCAAGAGTCCTAAGAGAATGACCTTGTCAATGAGGAGTAAAATTAATTTTTCAGTTTTCAGCCTTTTTTTCCTTCCAGTATGGATGCTAATGGATTGGACTTACCTCTGTTTCAGAGCCATAAGAAAGTGGGAGCCTTATGGAGGGAGGCTGATCTTAGCTGGAAGGACTTTTTACCAGAAGGGGAAGACGTACATAATTTTCTCTTGGAGCAGGTAAGAACAAGACTTATGCCTCCTATTTGATTATAGTTGGTCTGTTTTATAGAGGAAATAAAAGTAATTTCAGTAAATATAGGGCTGAGAGTGTAGCTCAGTGGTAGAGAGCTTGCCTGGCATGCATGAGTCCCTGGGTTCTATCCCCCAGCACGCCAAATAATAATAATAATAATATCAAAATAAGAATCTTAGTCAAGATACCTTTTTAAGTCCATGTTTTAAGGTTCTCTAACTATATGCTTATTTGAGAATAGATTAAAAATGTAAGAAAAATTTTAAAACTTTAGCCATGCTAAAAAGAAAGCTTTCAACCAGGTGCTGGTAGCTCACGCCTATAATCCTAGCTGCTTGGGAGGCAGGGGTCAGGGGGATTGTGGTCCGAGGCCAGCCAGGCAAATAGTGCAAGAGACCCTATCTCAAAAATATCCAACACAGCTGGGCTCCAGTGGCTCACATCTGTAATCCTAGCTACTTAGTTAGCAACAATCAGGAGGATCGTAGTTCAAAGCCAGCCTGGGCAAATAGTTCGCAAGACTCTCTATCTTGAAAAACCTATCTCTAAAATAGGGCTGGTGGAGTGCCTCAAGATGTAGGCACTGCGTTCAAATCCCAGTACCACCAAAGTAAATAAAAGCCGTCTGTGAACCAAAAGTGAAATTATAAGGACAGGTGATAGCACTCCAGCTGCAAGTTTTCTGAGCCCTGGATCTGAACGCAGGCGTAAGTAGCCAGAAGTTCCTCTGTGGGTAATAAGAGGAGACAAGCTTACCGTTTAAAACTGCACAGGTAAGTAATTGCAAGGACCTCAAACTAGAGCTTTAGCCCTGCCTTTTAATTTAGTAGTTAGATCCAGAAATCCACAAAGCAGAAGCTTCTAAGGTTGATGTAGTCTGGTCATAAATGGTTGTAAGTAGTAATTGTAAAATTCTATTAGAACAAAGTAAATGACAGAGAAAGAAAACAAAACTCTCTCAAAATGATCCTGCAAATCAAAATCCTAAAATACCTGAAGAAGGCAAGCATGCTGGCACACTGCTGTCATCCTAGTACTTAGGGGGCTGATGGCAAGGAAGACCATGGGTTTGAGGCAAGCCTCATCTACATGATGAGATCCTGTCTCAATTAAGAAAAAAGGAGAAAGAAAGAAACAATCTAAAACTAAAGCTAAGACAGGCAACAAAAGTACTGGTAAGGAAGAAAAATAAATTATTTTAGAAAAAAGCAATCTGAAAGTTACTTTCAGTATATTTAGCTGGGCACAAAATTGTGTGCCTGTAATCCCAGCTACTCGGTAGGTTGAGGCAGGATTACAGAGACTCTGTCTCAAAAACAAAGCAAAAAACCTAAGTGTACTGTTCTGGATGAAGACGCTATTAGGTTGCTTAGCTTCTGTTGTGGTTGTAGTCTAGGTACTGTGGGGAGTGCTCCTGCCATAATACTAAGAACCTGCACAGAGCATAATTTCTGATGCATTGTTGAGCTCACAGACAGAAGATAAAATGTTCTTGAAGGGATGAAAAGAATGAGGGGGAGCTGAAACCAGAGATGAAACCTGAGCTCTGAGCAGTAAGCAGATGTGAAAGGTATGCTGCCTACAGAGCATGTTGCCCAATGGGCAGGTGTGATTTCAAGCGATGACAGCAATCAGGGTAGAAGTTGAAATGAGCTCAGTTCCCTATTACCCTGGCTTTCAGAAAGCCAGAATGCTCTTTGGAGAAAACATTAGGTCTCCACACAAACTATTTTCAAAACACGTATTTTCTAAATACATAAGATAGCATACATTTAATATACAATTAAACAAGTAGCCACAAATGAGAAAGTATAAATGAATAGTAAATGTAATTTTAGACCCAAAATACTTGAGGTAACAGAATTATTTGCTACTCAGAATATCAGATGACCTTATATTAAAAAAAGAGAGAATCACAAAAATAAGCAGAGACTAATAGACTAAGTAGAGAGATTTTTTTAAATGAAAAAAAATGTAAATAGGATACTAAAATATGTTATGAGATTTGGAGGGTGGAATATCTAATGTTTGTGTAATTGGAGTCCCAAAAGAAAAATTAAAATGAATAGAGAAGGGGCAATATTTGACGAGAATGTAGCTGAGACTTCCAGAACTAGTCAAATATATTATTTTAGTATAACCAACTAAAACCAAGGTTAAATAAAATATTTCAAAGAAACTAGAAAGAAGAAGCATATTATCTACAAAAAAATTAAAAACCGAACAAACAAACAGACTTTGCAGAGACAACAGGAGTGCTGAGGTTCAGTTAACTGCATAACTGCCTCTTCAGCTAAGCCTTCAGAATCAGAGCAGCGCCTGATGAGAAATTTAGTAGCATGCTTCTGAATGTCCTATCAAAGAAGGTATCACAGATGTACAGTAAAAAGTATTTTGGACCAAGTAAAAATGAAAAACACACCATATCAAAATGTATGGGATTACAACTAAAGCAGTATTTGTAGTAAAGCTTTTAGCACAGAACACCTATATTTAGAAGAGAAGAAAGGTCACAAATCAATGACCTCAGCTTCAACCATACTAAATCATAGAGGATGGGAAATGTAGCTTAGCGGCAGAGCAATTGCCTTAAAGAAAAGGGGAGAAAAGAAAAGGAAAGGAAGAACAAAATAAGGAGAAAAAAGAAAATAATAAAAATTAGATCAGCAGTCAGTGAAAACAGAATCCAGTGGAGAAGTCAGTGGAGTCAAAATTGAGATGCTTCTTTGAGAAGCTAAAATCTACAAACTTCTACCCAGACTGATCAGGGAAAAAAAAAAAAATCAGGCACATATTACCAGTATCAGGGATGAAAGAGGTCACACAAGTACAGATTCTGTTCATGAAAGTGGCTAAGGGCTGAGCACAGTGCCTCACACCTGCAATCTAAGGTATTTAGGAGATGGAAATGGGGAGGATCACTGTTGGCCTACAGTAGGCCAGCTTGGGCGAGACCCCGTCTCAACAAAACAAGCCAGGCGTGGTGGTACACATCTATAATAACAGCTACACAGGAGGTGTAGGTATGAAGATCGTGGTCTGAGGCTGGCCCCAGGCCTGCCCCCCCCCCTCAAAAAAAAAGTGAAACCCCATCTCATAAAACAAGCTGGGCATGGTGGTACATATCTAGAATCCCAGCTATGCATGAAACCACAGGTAGGAGAATAGTGGCCAGAAGTTGACCCTGAGCAAAAAAGTTACCAGAAACCCATCTCAACAAATACACTGGTCATGGTGGCATGTACCTGTTGTCCAAGGTCATAGATGGCATACACAAAGGATTGCATTTCAAGACTGACCCCAGGAAAAAAAGGCAAGACTGTATCCAAAAAATAACTAAAGTAAAAAGGGCTGGAAGCCTGGCTCAGGATAGAGCAGTAGAGGTCAATACATGAGTAAATTTAAAAGTTAGTATTATGTTTTTGGTTTGTAATTCTCTTTTTTCCTATAAATTTTAAAAGAAAAACCCATAATAAATCTGTTAATTAGCACTTAATATATAGAGGTATAATGCAATGGTGATAACAACATAAAATGTATCTATGAGAAGTGAAAACATATGGCACTCTGGTTTGATGTCAAATAAACCTGAAATAGTCATCAGTTCGCTGGTTGGTGTCCTTTGTTCAACCCCCATAGGAATTGAGTGTAGGGAAGGAGAAGCTTTTCCAGTGCCCAAGGCCTAGAGATTGAACTGTCCACCAGAGGCTTCCTGCTCCAAACCCAGACTGCTTAGGGACCTACTACTCCCAGTTTAGAAGCCACGGCTTAATGGCTCTAGACGTTCAGGTTAGAGGTTCATTGTTAAGGGCTTTAACTACCAGTGGCCCTGGCACTTGGAAGCTGTTGTAATCCTTGGCTTTTGGCAGCAATGGGCAGCCACAATAGGCAGAACAGGTAGCCCTTCATAGAGTTACTGTCCTCTGAGGCCTAGAGTATCTGAGACCCTTGGCCCTTAGGGCTTGGCAGCTCTCCAGAGCTCTTCCAGCAACCAGAGCCTGAAGTTTCTCATCTTTAGTTCTTCATGGCCCTTGTCTCTGTCACCTCAGTTCCCTGCCTTTTCTATCCCAGGCACTCTCTGAAATAATTCATCTGCCTTCTTGTCACTACTGGCAGTGTCACTGCTACTGCTAACTGTCAGCTGCCCTCATCACTGCTACCACCATCTTCCCTGTGTCATCAGCTCAGCCCCCTCTACTAATGATAAAGATCAAAAGTAGGCAAGAAAAGAAAGACCTTTTCATTGGGCCTAGGTTCTAATGTTGAAAAACCAGGAGGCAGCCAGAGGGGTATCTCTTGGCTTGGCTCAAAAGTAAGCCAGAGGAGTGTGTGGCAAGGGTGTTTGCAGCAGCCTCAGGCCTTCTGCTGAGCCACCATAGAGCATTCTGTCTTCCCCCTCTGGCCTGGGTGAAAATGATTGCAGGGCCATCAAGAATTCACTGAGGCTTATGATGGTGAAAAGTAGATCTGAAGCTGTTTGAAACAATTGTGGCTGGAACAGTGCCCTCTGAAGTCAGAGCTGCGCTTCAGCAACAAGCAGCCATGGCTGCAGTGTAGCTTCCTTAAGGCATTGTGGAGTGTTCAAAGCAGCTGGGCTGCTGTTAGGATGGTGTACATGATTCTTGGCTAATAGTATTTCACTTAAAGTCCCTGGGGCACCAAGGAAGGGTCAGTTAGGGAGTCACACCCCTCCCCAACTTCTTAGCTTACTTAAAGGAGAATTCACATTAAAAGGGATACTTAGAAGTAAGACAGCCTTACCAGTGATTCCACATTTAACGGTGCTCAAAAAATGACTAACTCCTGCCCCAGTGTTCCTGGAAAAGGTAAACCTTTCAGTAGGTTTCAAAATCAGATTACAGTTTTCTACCACTTGACATGTAACTTTTAAGCAAATATTTCTTTTTGTTTGTTTGCTTTTATGAGTACTGGGGATTGAACTCAGGGCTCCAGACTTCCTAGTTAAGTGTTCTACTACTTGAGCCATGCCACCACCCACAATATCTTCCACTGTTTGGATTTGCTTGTTTGGGGGAGTACTGAAATTTGAACTCAGGGCCTTGTGCTTACTTACCAGGTGCTCTACCACTTGAGCTAAGCCACCAGCCCAACAAATAATAAGACATTTCTAAACTTCAGGTTCCTTACCATAGTGATAATACCTACCTTGTAGGATTTTTGTAGGGATTAAAATGAGATAATGTTTTAACCAGGTGTAGTGGCTAACTCCTATAATCCTAGTTACTTGTGAGGTAGAGATTGGGAGGATCATGGGTTGAGGCCATCCTGGGCAAAAAGTTCTCAATACCCCATCTCAACCAGTTTAAAAAAAAAAAAAAGCTGGACATAGTGGTACTGCTTGTCATTCTTGCCTGGTGGGCAGCATGAAGAGAAAGATTGCAATCTGGGCATAAGCTAAGACCTATATTAAAAATAACCAAGGTAAAAAGATCTGGAGGCATGACACAAGTGGTAGAGCTCCTACCTAGCAAGCATAAGGCCCTAATTTCAAACCCCAGTCATGATGAAAATAAATAAATGAATGAATAAGACTGTTTAAAAAGCACTGAACTCAAGAGTTAGGCAGTAAATTATGGATAATGTTGTTAAAGGCCAATTAGAAGAAAGAGGTTCCTTAGCCTTCCAGATCCTGACTTTTACCTTTCTTATAAAATAGTTGGTTTGGTGCCCTTTTTCTGGAAACCCTAGAGCATCCTACAAGAGGCAGTGGTTAGCTGGGTGTTGGTGGCTCACGCCTAGAATAATCATAGTTATTCCAGAGACAGAGATCAGGAGGATCGTGGTTTGAAGCCAGCCCAAGACAAATAGCTCCCAAGACCCTATCTCAAAGAAACCCAACACAAAACGGATCTGGCAGAGTGGCTCAAGGTATAAGCCCTGAGTTCAAGCCCCAGTACCACAAAAAAAAAGAAAGGGGAAAAAAAAAAAAACTAGAGGAAGTGGTGAGCTGCTCTAAATTCAAGGTGCAGCCCTCTGGCTGCCAGGAAGGTAAGATGATGTGTACAGTGACACAGGGGTTCTCAGGATCAGGTCTTTGACTAATAACGCTCTCTTTTCACATTTTAATATTTTATTTCATTCATTGACTGTACTGCATTTTGTTACTGCTGTTAATTGCTTTCATACCTTAAATTGCTACTGTAAGTTTAACTTTAGTTAAACAGGTACTCTGATGTAGGTATTCTAACACCTTGGGGCATTAAAATTAATTTGAAGAATATTTTAAAGTTATGAAAAAAATAAGATTGCCTATTCTTAGCAAAGCCTTCATCTTGTGCTTTTGTTATGTAGATTGGACTATGAGGGATGTAATAGTTAAGTTATACCACAGTGAGTTAGGAAAGTTGTTTGCAATGATGAGCTGTGTTTCCAGAGAAATATTATTTAGACATGCAACACAAGTGGAAGCAATCAAACAAGGGATGAGACACTTAGAATTCAAATTAGTGGCTGCAAGAGTGTTGGAGCAAACTTAATTGAATGACCTTTAATATATTCATCTTTGGAGTTTTTAATATAGTGAAACTACATAACGCAAGGCATACCTACATATCTCATCGCCTAATACCTTTGAAAACTACCAGTAGATTTGGTTTTATTTATATATATATATATATATATATATATTATTTTTAATTTTTAAAGAAAATGGAGGTGGTACTGGAGTTTGAACTCAGGGCTTCGTGCTTGCTAGGTAGGGAATCCTAGTGTTTGAGCCACCCCTCTAGCCCATCTAGGAGTTAAACAACTTACGCCACCATTTGTCACACTTGGATGCAGAATGATCAAGAGGTGTTTGAACAGCTTAAAGCCTTACAGAGTTTTGACAGCTGTTAATGTAATACTAATATTAAACCATAGGCTACAAAAGGTAGGTTAAATTGTACCCTTGCCTAGGGCTCCCACCCAACCTTACAGAGCTGAGTCACTAAGCATTGCAAAATTGCACCTCAAAATGACTTGGAGATACACATACCAGAAATAATTTATTTGCTGATATTTTTGTAGAGAACCAGAGAGATAACCCAGTATGGAAAATTGGAGAAATAATGATAATGGAATGACAGTCTTTCAAAACTACAAATGTAAAATACCTTCCACTGCTCATTTTGATCCCATGCAAAATATTGTCCAAGGTTTTGTTTTCTTCTTTTGATGATAATACTAAATTATATTAATGTTTAACATTTTGTTTCAGAAGTTGGACTTTATAGAATCTGACAGTTCCTGTTCCTCTGAAGCACTTTCAAAGAAAGAACTCTCTGCTGAAGAGCTATATCACCGACTTGAAAAACTCATCATTGAGGACAAAGCAAATGATGAACAGATCTTTGACTGGGTAGAGGTACAGAGACTGTGTCACCCTCTCTGCTTCTCTGCAAGGAAGATTATTGTGGGTCCTCTCAATTCACATTCCAATCTTCTCACTTGATGAGGGTTTTTAACCTTTTATCAAATTGGCTTTTCTTTTCTTTTTTTTTTTTTTTTGGCACTTCTGGGGATTGAACTCAAGGTTTGAACACACTTGCTAGGCAGGCAGGTGCTCTACCACTTGAGCCACTCTGCTGTTACTATATGCCTTTAAATATTAATGTTACGGGGGGGCAGGGGGAGAAATAACCCAAACATTGTATGCACATATGAATAAACGAAAAATAATTAATTAATTAAATTTTAAAAAAATAGTAATGTTACTGAGGTAATGATCCAGGGAGGAAGTCTCCAAAAGGGAGGAGGCCTCCACCTGGCCCTTGGTACCGAGTCCGTGATGTTGTCACAAAAAAGAATTTTAGGACACATCAAGATAGTGACCAGGAAAGTTTATTAGTAAAGCAAAGCAAAGGAAAGATAGAAAGATAATACACAGTCCAGACATGGGTACGGGCACACGTGATGACAGGTGCAGTGAGTGCTCTAACATCGGGCGTATTTATGCTGAAACAGTAGGTTGGGGGTTTGGCTCACATTTGCCTTAGGAAAGAGTGCTCTTCTTTGTTCTGACACCTGCTATAGTTTATCATTTTTGCTGTGACACTGTTTTATCAGTGGGGACCAGAGACTTCAAAGGATGCTCCAAGATAGGTGTCATCTTGGTAAATACTTTTTGTGTCCAGAGGAGTCATTTTCCCAGGTGTTCTTGCCCAGAATAAGCCTTTTGTTAAGATACCCTTGCTCAGTTTTCAAAGGGCACTAATTACTTTTGGGCAAGCAGGCGAGGTCAGAGGGAGAGAGTTGCTCTTTTTCCACTTTTTTCTTTTTAGTAAATGTTGCACTTTGTTCAGGGAGTGTAATGCTTAAGGCATATTTATATGGTTTGAATTAAGCTTTTCATTAGTACAATGCTTATTTGTAAATTCTTGGCTGCTGTTTCCCATGCCTCAGTTTCCCTAGTCTATCCTACCTCAGTAATATTTATGAAGGTGTGTTTAACTTGTGTACGTTTTTCATAAAATGAAAGAAACAAAATCAATGTTGGAAGTATAAATACTTTTTTTTTTTGGCAGCACTGAGGTTTGAACTCAGAGCCTCACGTTTGCGAGGCAGACACTCTTTATCACTTGAGCCACTCCGCCATCCCTTTCTTATGCTGGGTTTTTTTAAGATAGGGTCTCATGAACTATTTACCCAGCGCTGGCTTTGAACTGAGATCTTTCTGATCTCTGCCTCCTGAGTAGCTCCTGATTACATGCGTAAGCCACCAGTGTCTGGTTTAAAATCTAATTCTTTAGGGATTTCTTTCTCTTTCTCTTTCTTCCCTTTCTTCCCTCCCTTCCTTCCACACGGTCTCCTTATATAACCTAGGTTGGCCTCAAATTCTTGATTCTTCTGCCTTAATCTCTCAAATTCTGGGATTACAGGCATGAATCACCATGCCCTCCTTTGGGGATTTCAAGTTGATATTCAGTTCTTGAAATTGTTCTGTCAACCTGTTTTTAAGTATTGTTGAGCAAAAAAGTAATGGTATATTATTCTCTCACTTATTCTTCAAAACAAATTGTTCAGATTATGAGACTTTGCTTCAACCCAAAAAGGCATTAAGGAGCAACTGATCTACAACACATACATCATTATGAAGCCTTCTCTGCGTGGCTCTTGGCACCCGTCTCCTCTGTACATGCCCCACTTCCCCACCCCCCACAATTGTCAGCAGTAGCACATGTTTCTGTTCTGTGAGAAGCCTGGCCATGAAACCTCTGCTGGGAGCACAGCCATCTCTGTCCACTGTGCTGGTGTCCCATAGAGCTAGCCATCTGACTTTGATCTCTTCACCCTGATCTTAAGAGTTCTTCCTCAGTGATTTTGAGGTCAGGTATTCAACAGAGAGAGCTACTAGTTAATCTTCCTCAGTTCTAAAATTCATCAACACTAAACTCATCTCTAAATATCTTGGAAATTCTCATCTCCCCAGAAGATTACAATAATGTTGTCATTTTTTTCCATGCTAGTCATTTAAAGACTGGCCCTTTCCATGGAAAATAACATACAATGCTATTAAAAGAAGCTGAGCCTCAAGTTAATTCTGTTCATAGAATTTAATACTTTAAATACTTTAAAAATTTTTTTATTACTTTATTCACATGTGCGTACATTGTTTGGACCACTTCTCCCTCCTAACCTCCTCCCCCCTCCCTCTCCCTTTAAATACTTTTGAAAGACATTTAAAATACCTGCCTAGAAAATGTCTTCTGCTGTTTTGTCTTTTTCTTCTGCTACACACCTGCTTTAGTATAGTGTCAAACAGCAACAAGATAAATAAACTAAAAATAAATTTGAGGCCCCTTTATCTTTTAACATCTCAAATGCATTTTTTGCTTGGTCATCCTTAGAAAAGAGTAACAATTTTCTCACTACCTGAAGGGTATGTTTGAGTCAGTGCTTGAGATTATCTTCTAAATCATTATAGGTTATTATGAAACAACAGTGTTGGCACATGTACAAACAGTTGCAGTCCTGAGAAAGTAGTCTTAAGATACAATGTATTTGTAGACTTGGATAGGTTACCCTATGTAAATTAATTATTTAGGAATAATGTTTTCAGATGGTTGGTGTTCCCAAATGTATACGCATACAAGACAATATAACTGGTGATCACAGAATAGCAGTGATAAGCTCCCAAAACCTAAGTACTGCTGCTTGAAATACTCTCACATAGAATTAGCAGTAACCAAACTATTTTTGAGTAGATCGCCATTTAATTTTTTGCCAGAATGTGCAAAGTTGACTCCATCTGTCCTTAATGCCAGCTTAGCACTGGTTTGAGGGAAATCATTTCTCTGGTATGTAAGAGTAATTTTAACTATTCTCCCCCCCACCCCCTTTTTTTTTTTTTTTTTTTTTTTGCTCCCTTAACTGCAGGCTAATCTAGACGAAAGTCAGATGAGTTCACCTACTTTCCTTAGAGCTTTAATGACAGCTGTCTGTAAAGCAGCTATTATAGGTAAGTGAAATCATTCATATGTCAACCACTCGTGACATGGTCTTGTTTTATGTTGTCTTCCAAACTTGCCCTATCTAGTTTACTTTCTGTGCAAGTGGATGGCATTTCTATCTATACTGCCTGGCTGTCCAAAGCATAGGTACAAACAGTTGCTATGCCTGCAAAGAACCCAGATGTTGTCTCCTGCTGTATACTTTATGTTGTACACCCAACAACATTGTTGTGTAGCTTTTTCCTCCCATCAACATCTTTCAGGCCCAATTCTTCCATTCATAAACTGTCATGAATGGGTTGAATATTCTTAACCTAATAGCAAAGGAGGACTATTCTTTTAGCTTTGTAAGGTCCTTTTATGTAAACACCTATATGAGGAAATAAAATGCCAACAGTTTCTCCTGCTCTATGTTGATTTTATTTTACATGATAAGACAATTCTATTGAATATTTATGAATTGCGTAGATGAATAGGATTGGAATTAGTAGAAACCCTAAATATTGCAAGTTACCACATAGTATTTAACAACATTAACTGAGGATATCTACTTACCCTTAAGTAGAAATCAACATTTCTATCACTGAAGAGAGGACAAAAAAATTCCATCAGCTCAAAAGTTATCTCAGCATTTCAGATCTGTCTTTGTCAAATGTTAAGATTTTCTGTTGGGTGAATGTTTTTCAATGTTAGTTTTATTTGTTTGTTTGATGGGACTGGGGTTTGAACTCAGGGCTTGACACTTACAAAACAGGTGCTCTACCCCTTGAGCCATGCCTCCAGTTCATTTTGGTCTGGTTATTTTGGAGATGCCAGATGGGAAGGGTGTGTCTCGAACTATTTAGGCTAGCCTCAAACCTCAATGTTCCCAATCTCTACCTGCCAAGCAGCTAGGCTTACAGGCATGAGCCACTGATATCTGGCTCCTCAGCTTCTCTTTTTTTTTTTTCTCAGCCTCTTTTGCTTATGCCTTTTCTTCAGAAGGCCTAGGTATGCTTTTTGCCAGTTCAATAATTAGTTCTTATCCGCCTAGTAATAATAAAATGGCCCCAACATTTTTACCCTTCTGAAAAGATTTGCACAAAGTTCCACTTTAATTTCCTTTTTTTGGTGTTGGAGTTCTAACTCCATGGTTTCACACATGCTAAGCAAGCATTGAGCTATGTCCCCAGCCATCCTAAATTTATTTTTTAATGTCTGTTTTCTAGTGGTACTGGAGTTTGAACTCAGAGCCTCACACTTGCTGGGCAGGCACTCTACCACTTGAGCCACTCCACCAGCCCTGTTTTGTGTTGGGTTTTTTTAAATAGGGTCTTATGAACTACTTGCCCAAGCTGGCTTTGATCCTCCTGATCTCTGCCTCCTAAAAAGCTAGGATTATAGACATGAGCCATCGGCACCTGACTTATGTTGTAGTTTTCATTTTTTTTGTTTGTCTGTCTGTCTGTTTTTTTGGTGGTGGAGGGGTAAACTCACGGCTTTGTGCTTGCAGAGCAAGTACTCTACCGCTTCAACCACGTCTCCAGTCCATTTTGGAGATGGGGGTCTCTTTCCTATTTGGGCTGGCCTCGACACCGCAATCCTCCCAAGTAGCTAGGATTATAGGTGGGAGCCATTAGCGCCTGCTTTAATGTTGTATTTTTAAAACACTCAATTTGAATTCCTACTTTTCTTTTATTATGAATATCCTTTTGATTGACAACTCACAACAGTGTGCATTTATGGGTTGCAATGTAATATTTTGATATATGTCTACCATGTGGATTGAGTAAATCAAACTAACTAACATACCCATCACCCACTTGTTTATGGTGAGACATTTGATTTATGTTGCTTTTGTAGATTGTCATAAAAACACTGTCACAGTTTCATTAAAATGGAAGACAGATAATTGGGTGCACTCCTTGAGGGAAACTAGGACTCAAAATGTATCTCCCCTCCATGTTTTCTGTTATTTCTGAGAGAATGGTCCATTAAAAATATCAGCGCATTTGGATTTCAAAATCTTTGCCTTGGACACCCTTATCTCTCTCGCCTTACAGAGTCATAAGGGTCCTGTGTACTCAGAAAACTGAAAATACTTGTTTGTTAATTATTTAAATGTAATGTCTAGTTCTCTTGTCTCCTCCAGCTGACTGTTCTACCTTCAGAGTGGACACTGCTGTTATCAAGCAGAGAGTACCGATCTTACTCAAGTACCTAGACTCAGACACAGAGAAGGAACTGCAAGCACTTTATGCACTACAAGCATCAATAGTAAAACTTGATCAACCTGCCAGTAAGTTGACCTCTTGTTAAAGTTACTCCAGTCACTGACCAAGACTTCAGAGATGATTTGGGTTTTGCAGGTGGACTTTGGAAAAACCACAGCCAGACACTAGTGGTCACATCTATAATCCTAGCTACTTGGGAGGCTGAGATAAGGGGGATCAGGTTTAAAGCCAACTGGGCAAGTTTATGAGTCCCCCATCTCAACCAGTAGCTGGGCATGGTGGCGTACATCTGTCATCCCAAGCTACATGGGAGGCTGAGATCAGCAGGATTGCCATTCCAGGCCAGCCTGCGCAAAAGAAAAAAACATTCATAGGACCCCATATCAGTGGGAAAAGAGCTGGGTATGGTGGCACATACCTGTCATCCCAGCTACCATAGGAAGCATAAATAGGAATATCACAGTCCAGGCTGGCCTGGAATCTCAAAAAGCTAGTCACTATCTCCAAAATAACCAGAGCAAAAATGGCTGGGGGCATGGCTCAAACAGTAGTTTAGCAAGCCTGAAGTCCTGAGTTCAAAACCCCAATACCACTAAAAAAATAAAGATAAAAAAGAAGAAAACTATCTAGAGATTTAATCCTTATTCTGGGGCAGGTCTGACAAAGCTTCATGTAATTATGCAAATACATCTATTCAGTATGGTAACCATGAGCCACATGTGGCAGCTGTGCATTTAAATGAGGCTGAGGAGTGCCTCATAGTGACTGAGGAGCTAGTGACTGTCACTTGGACAGTACAGGTGGAGGGCATGAGGATGATTTATGGCCTTGGTGATGATGATCTTCAGAATCTTCAGACACCCAGCAAAGGCCTCAGTAGTAATCTGATCACATGGTACTTACTGAGGCATTCTAGAAGAATTTTCAGTTAAGAGAACATCATTCTTGGTTAAGCAAGTATTACTGACATGGGCTAATTACTGAGTCCTATTAAATCTTTGAAGATTCTATTGTCATTTGCAAAAGTGAATGGTGCATGGTTATTTTATAGGTATCCCTAAGGTAGTTCTTAGACCCTTCTTTGGTTATGGCCTGTGCAGTTTTCCTTCTTTCCAAGTGCTTCTGAATCTTTCTGGGACATAAAAGAGAGGATCAAATCAAACTAAAGAGACATCTAAGTTAAATCATAAAATTTAATCTAGATGAACTTTTTTTCCTTCTCAGAGTCTTTGCAAGGTCATTTAATATCATGGTTTCCTTTTCTATATTGTTGTAAGAAGAGGATACTAACTTTTTTGTCTGTTTTTGTTTTTTTGTTTTTGAAGACAGGGGCTTCCTGTGTAGCCCAGGCTGGCCTCGAACTCATGATCCTCTTGCCTTGGCTTCCCATTGCTGGAATTATAGACACCTGCCACCATGCCCAGCTGAAGATACTAGCAGTTCAAATGAGATGGTCAGGTGGTTGGATAAAATTGGTACTGTGTGCTCAATGCGAGTATCTCATAGTTATCAACTTCAGTAATCTCTGGAGAGCTTTTAGTTGTAAATTTACCACCATTAGAATAGTGGCCCCTTTCCATTTCCCTGTAGACTGGCCAGGGTTTTGAGTGACTTATTTTAGTGTTAGCTTGCCTAGTATAATTACAAAGGTTAATCTAAAGAAAAAAATTTAGGTTGAAGGCGTGGCTCAAGTAATAGAGTGCCTGCCTAACAGACACTAGGTTCTGAGTTCAAACCCCAGTACTGAATAAAAGGAAGGGAAAGGAAATGCTAGGCAAGTGCTCACCACTGAACTACACCCTCACCCCCAAGGACAGTTTTTCAGGTATGACTGTCTCCATAGGGAATTAATATCTCCACCACCTTTATCCTTCTTTGAGCCATTATGTAATTTTCCACTGTGAGAGAAAACCAGAATTAAACTTATTCTCATAGTTTAAACATTTAAAACAATGAGTAACTATATTTTCATTGGATAAAATCCAGATGAGTTACCTTTTACCCATGTTTCCATATGAATGATTGCTTTGTCTTTAAAGCAAAATCACGAGGGGGAAGTTACTCATATTTCATTTTAAGGTACTTAGTTACTATATAGTATGAAACAATTTCATCAATATTAGAAAGTAGTTCAAACTGAACAAAATATTAGAAATAAATAACTCAGGCCACTGTGCTGTTATGTAATGCACGTGTGATGAACTGTCATTGGTTCTCTTCTGGGGGAGAATTAATGTGCGTTCATTGCATTCACTGCCTCTCCTCACAATTACAGATTTGCTACGGATGTTCTTTGATTGCCTGTATGACGAAGAGGTAATCTCTGAGGATGCATTCTATAAATGGGAGAGCAGTAAGGACCCTGCAGAGCAACATGGGAAGGGTGTGGCCCTAAAGTCTGTCACGGCATTTTTCACGTGGCTGCGAGAAGCAGAAGAGGAGTCTGAGGATAACTAAAACTTCAAATACACAAAACGAAAAAAAGAAACAATTTAAGTATTTTTTTAAAAAGTTTCACGTCTTCGCCAATCACAGTGCAGCAAGGCCAATTCTCCCAGGAACCCCCACGTGTGCACAAGTGGGAGAGGGGCAAGAAAAAAAAGGTGATCATGGAGGAAAAAGGTACTGGAAACACGTAAACGTCAAACCTGAGGGCGGGAGCACGAAAACCAAAATACATGTATTATTTATAGAAAATATTTTCTGTTTTAATCTTTTCTTTTTAAACAAGGACTTATACTTCAAAAACACATTTAGCAAAAAAAAAAAAAAGTTAAGAACTTTTTAATTTATTTTAATGACTGCAAATGCCAGTGTGTAATTTTTTAATTTGCAGTTTCTGTAAACAAATTGTATAATAGAAAAGCAGAGAAATAAATTTCCCTCCCCTTCAGATGCACCTAGATGCACCTCACATTTGTTTTGAGGTATAGTAGTTAGTCCAGATTTGAGAAGGTTTCGGGTGAACAAGGTAAGAAAGATATTTCTTTTTATTTACCCCCCTGGCATCAAATCTTTCTGCCTGCTTCTCAGCTTGCTTCAGAAAATTAAAAAAAAAAAAAAATCACAATAGTAATCAAACATGTGTAGCCTTGGAACAGAAGGAAATGCTGTGGACCAGAAAACTCCAAGAATTGTTCAAAAAAAGTTCTACCCTGGAAAAAATATTCTTAATACTTTTGAAATCTTTAGAACAACTTTAAGGCTTGTAAATACATAGAACAAATATTTAAAATACAAAAACAAATTGACTCAATCCTATTTCTTTTCACTTTCAAAATACAAAGAACAAAATAAAGATGAACATTGCAAGTTTAAAAGGAAGTAAAGTGACTTCTCCTTTTGACAACTACTGCATGTGCACCCATCCCCTGGGATGTTCTGTCTGGCTGTTCATTGTTTAATCCAGTTCACACCTGAGTGTTGTGTGTCAAGGGCATGCACATGTGTGTGTGCGTGGGTGTGTATCTTTTTTTAGGGGAATCGTGCAAGGTACTCTGTGGGCATAGAGAGCCCTCGTGCTTAGGTAGGAATTCCCCTCTGAAAATCCAAGAAAAACTTCACAGCACCAACTAGAAATTCGTTTGCAGTGCTGGGGGTGTGGCTCGAGTGGTAGAGTGCATGCCTAGCATGTGAGGCTCTGAGTTCCAGCCAAAATATAGCCACCATATGGTCAAAAAGGAAAAAAAATTGTGGATGAGCACAAACCTAAAGACAGTTAGTTCTGTATCAGGACACTTTGATACTACCACTGATTTTTAATTTTCCCATCAATTACCCTCACTATTCAAGAAATCCAAAGGTGTCTTCTAAAGAATGAAAAACCCAAAGGTAAATTCATGCTTTTCAGTGGAGATGGGGCTTAAAGTCATAACAATAACGTGAATATCGTATTATTACCCAACTCCACCTTCCTTCAGGCCATTCTGGTGAGTATGAAGCCAACTATAGGTCTGTTTCTCCTGAGAGCCTGCAGTGCTGCTTTACAGTTTTTTTCTTGCTTTACAGTTTTTTTCTTTCATGGAGTTGTGCTCTGAACAGATGGATTTCCCCATCCACTGTTTCTGGGCCTTCACCCTACAAAACATAATTATGGGCAGAGGCAGGCTATCCACAGTGAGAGACTTGGCAGACTTGCGAAGCGCAAGAGCAGTGTTCTTCACGGCAATAAAAGCTTTTCTTGCACATAGTTGAACACAATATAGGGTCCTGCTGTACGTGCCCACAGAGCCTAGTCCTCAGTAGTGAAGAATTGAGTCCTCAGAGTCTCCTCTGGCAGCCATGTGACAGTATCTGTCATTTTAAAAATGGAGCCTGAAAAGCTACTTTGGGATCTGGCTGTCTGGGAACCCTCAGTTTAAAGAAACAACCTGGTTCTATAACATACCAAGTTTTAACATCCTCCACAATCAACATGCAGATGATTCTGATTGCGGATCCTCTGAGTAATACAGGTTTTCCAAAGGTATTGACAACAGTCCCATGGGTAAGGGATGGGGAATTTGGAAAAGGAGGAGGGTGACTGACTGCCTCTTGGGAATCAATAGCTACTATTTGCAGGGATTTGACCTGGAGGAAGTTTCAGGTAGTAAACAGCCTATTCATCAATATTTTAGATAGGGAGAAATATTAGGAATGGAGGAGAAATTTAAAAAGTATATAAAGAGCTGAAAAAAATCTTTAAGACAGTATAGTACAGTAACAAATACATTTGCCATTTTACCTATAACAAGTAGGGTGATAAACTACAAAGTAACTTTTGGATATCTTGCCATGTAAGGAATGTTTGATAGGGTAGAAGCATTGGCTATATGCATGCCTGCAATCCCAGCACTGGGGAAGCTGAAACAAGAGGATCACGAGTTTGAGGCCACCCTGGGCTACACAGTAAGATGGCCATGTCTCAAAAATCCAATAAAGGTTTGGGGTGTGGTTCAAGTGGTAGAGCACTTGCCTAGCAAGTGTGAGGCCCTGAGTTCAAACCCCATACTGCCAAAAAAAAAAAACAAAACAAAAAGCCAAGCATGATGGTACATGCCAATAACTCCAGCTATTCCAGAGGCAGAGGCATGAGAAGCTCAAGTTAGAGGATAGCACAGATAAAAGGTAGTGTAGAACTGTCTCAAAAACAAAAGGGGTGAGGGTGTAGTTCAAATGGCAGACCTAACGTGCAATTCCCAGTTACCCTCCCTCCAAAGAGGTAAGTGTTACTAATGGCAAAATGTGAGCAAAGTGAGGTAATTGATCCCTACTAATATTAGTTGGACTGCAAAGGATCATCATGATTGTTGCCCTCTCCACAGTCTTCTTACTAGAAAGTGGGGTTTGGTCGTTTTGTTGTAAAATAAAAGGCAGCATCGCCAGCAATGGCATGCCTTTACTCCTTCGAGATATAACAGAACTCTTTCAGGACAGGGATGTAGTGCAATGGCAGAGCACTGCCCAGCAGACTTGAGGCCCTAGGTTTGATCCCCAGTACCTCAAAAAAATAAATAAATGAAAAATTGCTTTTCCACCCATTTGAAATTTGAGTACAGTGCCTCTTTTACTTCATTAAGGCGTTTGTGTTTAAACCAGTTAGCTAAATGAAAAGTTTTGTAATTTTTAGCAAAGGAGCATGATGCAAAGCAAACTTGGTTTACATTCTTGCAAAGAACAGTAATCCAGTTCACAACTGCAGCATGAAATAGTTTTATTGAGCAAATATTTATGGGCTGGACGTGTAGGTCAGTGGTTGAGTGCATATTTACTTACCATAGATAAGGGCCTGTGTCCAACCCCCAGCACCACCTAAAAGAAATCCTCTCTGAACATCTGCAGAGGTGTAACAGTGACCAAAGCAGTCTGCTCTCACAACGCTCATATTCCTTATGCAAGCAGAAAACTAGAGGTTAGCCCACTGCATGACCATCTTCCCACTGACGAGTGTCCACCCCACGTTATTCTTAACAGGCTTTTGGGTTTTATCTTTGTGTTTCAAAGCACACTCAAGGTATTTGGAAGAATTAAATCCAATATAGCCTGCAGGCCACTCTCAAACAAGTTAGTTGGGGCTTTTTGACATTTTATCTCTTGGCTCCCTTCAAATCAAAAAAATTCTAAGCTAGATGGGGGAGAACAGAGGCTACTAGATCTATTTTTTATGTTCTTCAATTTTGACCACTCCACTGGTCACTTACAGGGGTGTTGCTCCCCATTTAGTATAGAGTAAAGCATCTGGATTTCATTTCTTACTGAAATAGACTTCTATACTAGTTAGTGTATTCATAGTTGTGCAACCATCACCACTGTCCAATTCACCCCAGAATGAAATCCTGTACCCCAGTATTCAGTCCTGGGGAACCACTTCCATTAGCTTTCTGCTTTTACCTCCAATCATTCAGCAGTTTTGGGGGGGGTTGTTTGGTTTTTTTCAATGCTTGGATTGGACCCAGGGCCTTGGGCATACTAGGCAAGTGCTTTACCACTGAGCTGCATCCCAGCCCTTGGTTTTCTGAGACATGTTCTTGCTATAGAGCCTAGGCTGACCTCAAACTCTCTATCCTCCTGCCTCAGCCTCCCCAGTGCTGAGATTACAGGAGTGTGCCACTTGAGCTTTGCTCCCAGCACTCCATCTCTGTTTCTTGCTAGTTAAGTAGTTTTCCTTGAGATTGGAAATCCTGTGTGAATTAGAGGCTACTACAGTGTCTTCTAGAAAAGTTGCCTTGAGGTACATTTGGACATATTTATTTAACAACTTATGAGAAAGTACTCAGTGAGGAATAAAAATGCTCTGAGATAGCCAGGCAACAGTGGCTCATGCCTGTAATCCCAGCTACTCAGGAGGCAGAGATCAGAAGGATTATGGTTCGAAGTCAGCCTGGGGAAATAGTTCATGAGACCTTATCTTGAAAAACCCTTCACAAAAAAGGGCTGGAGGCTCAAGGTGTAGACCCCGAGTTCAAACCCCAGTACTGGGGGGAAAAAATGCCCTGAGACAATTCCTACTACTGGCTGGTCCCAATTCATTAGTTTTCTGGAAGAGACTTTCCTTTCTACTCTTTTAAGTTTGGGCTATAGGTTTCTATCCTGCAAGAGGTTAGGGAGAGAGATCACTATATGCTCTCATACCCCTCAAAGGGAGAGGTGATGATCTATCCCTCCTCCTGCCCCCCCCAAAAATAACATCATTGTGTTCAATCAAGTTATGAGATGACTTTACATATCACAGAATTCAACTGTAGAGAGTCATACCGAATATTTGAATTTTTTTTTTTTTTTTTGGAAATTTTAAAGAAAAGTTGCAGATTTTACAGACTTCCATGTATCCCTCACTCAAATATATTACCTTAAGATATTTGTCAAAACTAAGAAACCAGCCAGGTACCAGTAGCTCACACCTGTAATCCTACCTTCTTGAGCATCTGACAAGTTCAAGGCCAGCCCAGGCAAATAGTTCTCATGACCACATATCCAAAAATAACCAGAGCAAAATGGACTAGAGATATGGCTCAAGTGGTAGAGCACCTGCCTAGCAAGTGCAAAGTCCTGAGTCCAAACCCCAGTTCCACCAAAAAAAAACCCCAAAAAACCTACAAAACCAACATTGATAGTAACTAAACTCTACATCTTGGTTTCTAAATACCATTCTCCTAAAAGAAGCCAGGACTTCTTGCCCTTTCTTGTCTAGGATACAGCCCAGGATCCCACGTTGCATTTAGTCATCACATCTCCTTGGTATCTTCCAGCCTTTGATGGTTATTTTAGTCTTTCCTTATTTATTATCACCTTGACAATTTGGGGGAGTAATGGTGAGGTGTTGCTGTACGTCAGTTTGGGCTTGTCTGGTTGGTTTCTCATTATTTAACTGGGATTATAAATTTTGGGTAAAAGTACCATGTAGGAGAAGCTTGTCATCATACATCAGCAGGTGCCCATATGCCATAACCAGGTTAACTGGTGATGTTATAACCTTGACTGCTTGCTTAGAAGATATTTGTCAGATTTTCCACTCTAAAGTGACTCTTCCCCCTTTCTTATTCTAGTCTGTTAGACTTAGCCAGTCCTAGGTCCAGCGCACACTGGG